TTCGCTTTTGTGCTCGGAATGCAGCTTCGCTTTCCTGGCGAAGCCGCATCTCCATTCGGCTTCGATGTCTCTGACAAGTGACAAGCATAGGCGGGGCATGAAGCTCGTCCAGCGCTAGTAACTGATCGTCAAGCCTCACCCACCCAAGGTTTAGTTGCTTTCAGAACAATTTGTTTTCTAGGCTCTGGCGACCATCTTCCCCTGTATTTTTCGAGTTCGACCCCTCCAGAACTGTTTTCAGCTTATCACCGTGAAGATTTGTTATCCAGGGAGCTGTTTAATGTTTACAGTAGAAAGATGCTATGTAAAGAAGACCTTTCAGCAACGGAGATCATGATATTACCGACTTCAATAGTTCTTTAAGAGATAAGACGATATCTTGGTCCACTACGCACCAATGTCACATTCTCAACAAGGTTTCTACCTTGATTCTAATCATCATATAAAACTAATTTTCCAAATGTCATACACTGGCACAGCGCCATGGCCTCAACTCTCCACTCCCACATATAGCCATCCAAACTGGGGGGGAAAAACAATTTTTTAAATTACAACGAATCAACTCTGTTTCCATCTTCTAAAAAATAAGTAAATTAACAATATATATTCATTCTACTTATATCTACTATATTGATTGTTGGAACGAATTACTAAAAGAAAGTTTACATAATATACAGAAAAAGAATGAGGCACTCTGAATTTCTGTGGCCATATAAAATACAAGGAACAAAGTCACGGTTTCAATGGTCAAATGCAAATGTCAAAAGTGCTATAAATGATATATGCATGATATCCAGCTCGGAATTCAAACTCTGCGGCCATAGAAAGCTCCAGGATAGGTAGGAACGAAGTCGCCGGACGAATAATCTAAAGGCCACCGTAAGAAAATTTCAAGAAGAACCAACTCAAATGAAACTCATTCTTCTACATCCAGCAAATCTAGAGAAAACACAGAAGTTAATCATCCGAAAAATATACCCATCTTCCATGAATAACTAAACAAATGATTTACATTGATAACTGTACTGCTACTTGTAACTGTGGTGTTATCAAATTACTAGCAGACGATGAGAACCAGAAACAGAATTAATTATCACTTCTCATTTCTCCTGCAGAGAGGGCATTGTTTAACTAAGCAAAACCAGAATAATTGGAGACATGTCTGACAAAATTGTTCCCTAGATGTAATGTCGCAATAAAAGATTTACTAAGACATGCAGAACATCCACCTGTCCTTCAGCAGATACGGATCAAAACAACCACTTCCCCATTCCTATCTTCCATATAAAGGGAAAGAGGACAGAGGATACAAGTTTATATAAATAGTTGATAAACACAAGCTATAAACATTTAGATATAGACTATATATCATGGGTCCACTCTATTTCCCAAGCTCAAATACACGTTATTGTAACAAGACTATGGCTACCCTACAAACTCACCATTACTTGAGGCCACCCTAATTGTCCTCGTGGTGTTCTACAGTTTAGCATGTTATGAGCCAGGGGTAGGAGAGGCACCTTCTTGAGAACCCGAATTAAGAATATGAGTAAACCCCTGCCCGATTGACTTCCACAATCTCGTTGGCAAAGATGATTGTAAATTATTTGCACTCATCAAAGATGAGGGCTCTAGTCCTAGCAGAAGAAGCAGGATCCAGGTCAGAAAATCTGACAGCACCTAAGAGTTTTTCTGGAAGTTCATATTCTGCTTGGCTCTCAATAAGAAAAGCCAAATCAACAGTCAGAGTTGAAACATAACCAAATGCCAAATGAACTATTGCACTTGCAACCATGGAGGAACCAATATCAATATCTACTTCTAAGAAATTTTCTCCCGTACAGTATTTACAGGTTAGGGCACGCCCAATTATGCAAATGGCTTGTTCTCCAACAGCTTTTTTAACAATCCACGGACCTTTAACAATGTTAGCAATCAGCTTAAGCCTTGAATTTTTGAATGCGTCATCACCTTTCAAGAACTTGTCCATTAATGACCCCTCTGGGATAGGCTCTTTATTGTAAAGTATGCTATGGCACTATAGTTGTCCTTGGTTGGGAGTTGAAGATTGAATGCCCACACAAAGGCTTATCGCCAGCTGAAAACTCATCATCAATGACCTTCCTAACTCGGCAATTTGGATGGCCCATGATCTCCCCAATCTTCACTGAGCTTTTAATCCAATCAAATCCAAGAGGCTTGAGCAAATATTCACCAGCAGGAATCTTGACCCTGGTTGTAAAGTACTCAGGACCCCTAACCATGAATGAATCTCCAGGTGGGAAGCCCAACCATTGCTACAGTTATCTGGTTCAAGAAGCGGAATGGCTCCTTCAGATCTTATTCTATCTATCCATTCAGGTTCTTTTGTGTCACCAACGCAGGCCATTAAAACTCCTGTTTCCCAGCTGTTTAAAATGAATATGATTTTATTAAATTGATTGTAAGATAAATATTAATGGCCATGCATATGCTGTCATGCATTATGAAACTGCACAAATCATGCCAAATGTAGATGGAAAAAAGTAAACATTCGTGATCAAGTGTGTGTGTGTGTGTGAGAGAGAGAGAGAGAGAGAGAGAGAGAAAATGAGATCATAAAATACGTCAGTCACAAAAGCTAAGCATTGATAGAAAAATACGACCACCAAAAGAAATCAAACCAAACTTTAACTGTCTTTAGGTTAATTGGGGGAACTTCCAAAGGATCTTAAAATTTACTGACTGGAGTTAATTCAAATTTATGTCTTTCATTTATACAATCTTGTTTACATAGGATTTGTATGGGGAACCTATTGAACCATAATGAGCTTGTGCATTTTTTGCTTGCCAGCCTTCGAATACTTTTGTTCTACCTGAACCATTCTAAAGGAGGAAAAACATTATAACATCAATTCTGGCATCACCAAACACAAACTTCATAGACTGGTCTGGGCTCATAATACTGTCAAAAAATAAAGAAAAAAAGAAGGGAAATTGAACACAAAATTAGCCTATTCTATGATGGGCAACTAATCTTGAGTGCAATCTGTAAAGAAATTTCTTTCTGACAGCATCTAAGCCTTATCGAAATAGAGTAATAGCAGTGTGTTACAATCATCTGTACGTAGAATAGTCCCCCTCCTTCAGCCTCCAGTAATTTCCAGCGTCAAGCTCAGAATATATTAACAAAGGCGATAATAACGATCGAAGTCTTCAAAAGGAAGAGAAAAGCATATACTTATTTAACCTTTTTTTTTTGGGGGGGGGGGGGGGGGGGAGAGACAAGTCGGACGACGAAATAAAAGTAAGGGGGATAAATCGTGAAACCCAAACCCGTGTGGACTATTCAGCTAGGGGAACACCACAGTATAATGACAGAAAGATATTCACTGTGGATTACCTGAGTAACTCGAAAATGCCAACCAAGAGACTTCGGGGAAGTGACAAGGCTCTGCACCGAGTTAACGAACATTAGACAAGAAACGAGACCTGATATTAGGGATTGGCCATGAAATTTTGCAACTGGATGGTATGGAGGCCGAGGACCAAAGGGATAAAGAGGTGAGTCCTTTTCTATTTTTTCCCCTTAATCTCTTCAAAGAATCAAATTTCCCGTCAAAGAAGGAAAGAGAGAAAACAGAATCACTTTATTTTCCTTCCCCGGAGAAGGACCAACCTGAACAGTCCCGTCCTACGATGCAATGCCCGAGTGCTGGGAGGAGGACCCCTTTTTTTAATAAATTAATCAGTCAGCATAAATCACATTATTTATAATAATTTATTATAAATAATATTTGTTATAAATATAGCGATATAAATTTTTAAAAAATTAATCCGAAAATCGTTTGTCCTTTTTAGATTCACTTTCAGCAGTAGCCTCATATGAATTAACTATTAAGAAATCTGTTATAAGGCCTGATGTGGAAAAAAAAAATTCCTAACTTAAATTACTAAGCAACTTATTCTGAGGGACAACTGGATCCGGGGGCAAGCCTGTCTGTGGTGAAAAGTGGGGGAAAGAGTCAAAGAAAATTATCATAGATTAATTTTTCCTAAATTTTATACTGCATAGATATATAGATGATAATTGCATCTCATAGATGCCTGAGACCAGACATTAAATTAGAGCTGGTAAAGGGCTCCCGGTGCAGATACAGACCCGTGAAGAGAGGGTTGGCGGCCCACTTATATTATTATTATTATTTAAAAAATATGTTGTCACATAATTAAAGGAGGGAGCCAGGGATCAAACCTGATATTGAAGCATAAGTTAATAATTGTTCAGCAATTCAGCATCATTCATGATTACAAAATAATGAAATACATCATACATAAAACTGTAAAAATTTTAAGACGGGACAAATCAAGAATTTAATCTGGTAAATGGGTGTAACTCTAGACATACAAGCCGAAGAAGATTCTAAATGGGGGCAGTTAGTTTTGCAATTGCTTCAAAACTGTAAAATTTTGCATCTCAATCATAAATGTATATGAATTTGCTTAGATATTAACAAAATTTTAAACTAACATCTGGAAGGCAGAAGGATACATGAAATAAAGATATAATGTTGATTATTGATATGCACACAAATTGCTACGGTCAGGGGTCAAGATATGACGCTGCTGCCCCCTGGCAAAAGTTTTAGTTTTTTAAATTTCATGGTTAACATTTCATTATTTCAGTTTCAGAAACTATTTATTATTTTTAGATAAAAAGAATTTTTATTATTCATATATGTTGAATTTTAAAGTTTGAAATATTGAAATCGCATTTAAAGTATTGGACTTGAGTAGTGAATTATAATAAAATAATATGAGAATCGATTTATAATGATGTAGTAAGAAAGATGTGCGAGCTAAAGTAACTGACACCTTGACGAGCTGAGTCCGCGAGCCTAACCTGAATTACCAGCTCTACCTTAAATTCCTACTATTTAATGGCCCAACCCCAAAGCCACACGCCCAGGCCACTATCTTCTCCCAGTTTCCTTTTTTCCCCCCTAAAGCAGACAGAACTGGTTTTCAATTGACAGAATCGGATTCATTTATATTATTCAAATGATTATGCAAATATTTCATAGTTGCATGATCTAAAAATATCTGCTCCATATTTGGATTAGGCCAGTGTAAATATATAGATAGATAGATAGTTTTCTCACGATGGTTTTGAATGGATGGGAAACCATGTGTAATTGCCTCACAATGGATTTGTGCCATTGGATCTGCAGTGAACGATTTTAATCAATTTAACTATCAGTTTAAAAAGAATTAAATCCAAGTACGAACTTGACGATCCAAATCTTCTTCTCTTCTTCTTTTTTTGCCTCTGATGATGCAAATCTTCAGTGGATATTATAGAGGGCAGAGCTAGATACTATATAGAAATAATAGACGCTTGAAGGCCTTAAACTCATTTAATTATCAAATGCTGTTACACACAGAAATAAATCACACTGTGAGAATAAGCTAGAACAAATGGACCATAGTGAAATAGCTAAGCCTAGGAATAGTTATGGGTAAGGGAGGGTGGCAATGTGGTTGTGAGCCACAGTTCCGATCCAAAGCTTCCCGTCTGTCTCTCTGACTTCACTCACCAGCTTCATTACTTCCCCCCCTCTATCTTCGAGAACATCCAATATCTGTCCATTCTCATCAAAAAGTGAAATCACAGTGTACATCCTCATCCCCATTATTCTAGCCAATATGCTCATTCTCATCGGCAACCTGAAGTAAATATTCCTTAACCATGGATTGTGAGTCAGCACTTCTTGTGCTGCAGTGCGGCAACAGTCTATTGCTACCCAGAATTGTCCTTTTCCATTTATCCTTACGTTGTCTGGAAATCCCGGAAGATTAGCTACATGTTCCACCGTTCCCATTTTTGGACCTTGTAGCCAAAACTTCATTAGTCTGTCATATGAAAGGTCCATGCTTTAGTTAGTTTACCTGTCATCAAATTTCATCATTCAGGGCAGGGTAGTGTAATTACTCACCGGCAATTGGTAGTTTCAGTGTAGAGAAGAGAGGATTGATCTTTAGAAAATTGAACTCCATTAGGAAAAGCAAGCCCATCTAACACAACATGGGTCGTTCTGGTGGGAGGATCGTATCTGAGAAGCCTACCAGTGGCCTCGCCTTCCAGTAATATGAGGAAATGCGCACTGCATACAGAGACACATGATACAATGATATGAACCAAATCCTACCACCTATATATGGGAAATTCATAAATATGCTTACACTCTGTTGTATCTTCTGCTGGTATCTGTGAAAAAGATGGATCCATTCTTATGAATGTCAAGGTCATTGGCGAAGAGAATGGGCTTTCCTTCAACATGGGTTGCCAGAGGGGTAGCAATTCCTCCATCAGGTCCAACCACCAAAAGGCCAAAGTATGCATCAGCAATGTACAAGTCCCCACTCTCTTTGTCAAACCTTAAACCCAAGGGACGCCCGCACGTTTTCTCATACTTCCATTGCTTGGCTGTCGTCGAGTCATTGCCCCTATAGCAAAGCTTCTCCGTCCTTTCAAGTATTAGCAATTTAGTAATCAGGAAACATTTAAGAATGTGAATAAACAAGAAATAGAAAACCTTCTGGGGAGAATCACCAATTGGTTGTAACTAATGCAAATGTTTCCCAACCCATTTGCTCCCCCATCCATCTCACAATGCGTCCATCAGCTAATCCTGCATAAGGGCCACGACCCACAGGATCAAACTCCAAGGACTCCGGTCCGAAGACTTGGTCTTTGAACTCCAATTTCCCGTGGAGCCCTAGTCTGCTCATATTGTCCCTTGGCCAACTCTTCATCACTCGGTGATAAGGTGCAATGTCATGCCTCACAGGTACGAATTCATGATTTCCCAGTGGTCCCAAATGAAATGGGTCCATTACAACAAATCCCAGAGCCAAGACAAGAGCAAGGATAAAAGGGTGTTGCAGAAAGGTTTCATCTTTTAGTGGGCGTCTCTTCTCCATGCATGTAATTAAGGGTGCAAGGTTTTGATGTGACGATGATAAGAAAGTTAAAGGAGAAGGATGCCCACTTGAGTGAGAAAGCCAGAGATCAAACGCTGTGCCGATTATCTGATCCGGTACAAGTACTTAGCTTGGAAGAGTTTCATATGCAGAAAGGTTGAAGAGTTGAAAGCACGCGTTGCTCGTGAGAGCACAGAGGTTGGGAGCAGGTCATTTATTGTTGAGACATGTGTTTCGCGTTCTGTTGTATTTATGGGAAGAAACATATCTTCATGGTGGAAGTCTTGCGGTTTTTATAATCGTTGAAGTGTCATCTGTGCGGACTCAAGAACAGTGACATGACAATAAAATAACCAACATGATCATAACTGAACTTGCGCATGCACTGCTCGTACCATGCAGTCTATGGCTACAAAGAATATAGATTTTGATCTTGTAACTGGAATTTCTCTCAAGTTTCGCCGAATAAAACCCAAGAACTTCAACTGAGTTACTAGTTCTTCAAAATTTTGCCCGTACTCACTTATTTTAAAACTATGTTCTTCAAATGCCTGTGTAATTTGCAAGCCTTTTGGGCGGAAGCATACTCCGCATCGCTAGCTGTTCGTCAAGGCTTTTGATCATTTTAGTGAGTCGATACATCTCGCTTGATCTCTGCGAGTTCTAAAATTGCAGTCAGGGGGTGCTAAATTGTCCTCCTCCATTTTCTGCCCCTCGCTATCCGTGCTTTTGCTGTTGGGTGTCCACAATGTTTCTGCAAACGCTGGAATAAAACCTCCTGGCCCCCTCGCGTCTTCTGGTCTCTGGGTTCTGCCTCCGCGTTCATTCCAGTTTGAGCTCGTGATTTACTGCCAGCTCATAATGCTAAAAGGGGGATTAATCCTCTAAATTAATTTAATATGCCTAATAATAATATCAATTCCACAAGATTTATTTATCAGCGAAAAATGGGCTGATGGGGAAGGAATAGCATTAAATTAAGGTTGAAAATTGGATTTAGAATTGCTGGCCGAGAAATAAAAATAGGTAAATAACTGAAATTAGTGAAAAAAAAATTCTGGTGTTGCGTGATACTGTCCATGATTTTATCATGACAACTAACAAATATTTTATGGAGCCGTGCATGGCACGGGAAAAATTCCAAGTTCGGTAAAGATAGTCCCGAGCTGCCACGTCAGCTGCGTGTCAGACGATAATGAAGGCTACAAGATCATAGTGATGATATAGAAATAGAAGATCTCCTTCTCCTTTCATAATATTTCTAAGGAGCAGCGCGGGAATCCTAAATCGGAACCATGCCTCAGTTTCGATCCTTCTTGTTCAAATCCAGTCGCTTCCATTCACGCTCTAGTTCCATTAGTTCGGCCACTTCCTCAGTCTCCCGTTCTCACTTCGCTCCGTTTTCTCCTCATTCTGACCTTCTCGACCGCCCTGCTTCGAATGGCTTTTCGTATCTTCGTCGTCTGCTTCAATATTCTAGCGCCTTTGGTTCCGACAATGATTTGCGTCGAGGTCTCTCAATTCGGAAGAGTTTGAGCAAAATGGGAAGTGGAAATGTTAGGGGTTTCTGTACCGAGCCTGACCGGGAGTCCATAGAGTATGACGTCGTAATCGTCGGGGCTGGACCTGCCGGTTTATCTGCGGCGATTCGGTTTAAGCAAATGTGCCGTGAAAAGGATGTCGATTTGTCAGTATGTGTCGTCGAGAAAGGTGCTGAAGTCGGTATGTTTCGCAGCTTCATATAAGATTATATTGTCAAGCCTTGAACTTGCTCATGCACCGCTCCTACTAGCCAATCTATGGCTGTAGATTTTGCACTGTAAATAGAATTTCAATCAAGTTCATCGTATGATTGATAATTCTTGAAGTTTTGGCTTCTACTCTTCCATTTTAAATTTATGTTCTGCTGCCCGAGTACATTTATACCAGTTGTTGGCGGTGGCATATACCATATAGTTGGTCATCAAGATTTCGATTACGTTTGAAATTGATGCATCTCGCTTGATCTCTGCGAGTTCTAAATTTCTAGTCACACTTCTAGTTTTCCTGTAATGTATCTTGCTTCATTTTTTCCCCTTCTTTTTATCCGTATTTTTGTTCTTAGGTGCTCATATTCTTTCTGGAAACGTTTTTGAACCCAGAGCACTGAATGAGCTTCTTCCGAGGTGGAAGCAAGAAGAGGTGCATTATGCTGTCTCATATCTCCAATTATACTGCTCTTAGCAATGGTCAGGCTGTATGCAATCTTCTCAAATTGTATTGCATATGCCTGTTGGACCTGTTTTTTTGTGAGAGAGAAAGAACAATTTTTGGAGGGGGGGTGAGTGTGGAGAGTAGATAAACAGAGAAGTTATGTTTTTATGAATACTTCATAAAACCAGTTACTTCTGCGTCCGATATGTGTCACACCACATAAAACTGTATAGTATGCCTAAACACTTCAGATTTTAACTATTTTCCCTGTTGCAACATCCATATTGGATGCGTTACCATGCTTCTTTGATTGGAAGAAAAATATGATGCTCTGAACTTGCAGAAGATTACTAATTCTCCTTGTTTTATATCTGATTTCATCATATAAGCCTTTCCCTTTTATCTGCAGGCTCCAATCAGTACCCCTGTTACTTCTGATCAGTTTTGGTTTCTGACCAAGGACCGTGCATTATCGCTTCCATGTCCTTTCAGCAATCAGGGAAATTACGTAATAAGGTTATAATTTTTATTTGCGTCTCTCATGCTATCTTTTGAATTATTTTGTTTGTCCTTTGTTTTTCGTTGGACCTCAAGTTCTGACATGTCATTTTGAGCAGGATATTTCTGCGAAAACTCCTCATCCATCGAAACTTTTTTCTGGCTTGTTGATTTATGAAGCTTTTGTGTTTTTATCATTCTTAATTAGTTGAACAATATTTGCATAAAAAGGCACAAAAATTCACTGAACATAAATTTATATTCAGTAGTTAGTTGTTCTGGGTAGAGATGAAAATATCTGTTGCTGATATTTGGTACAGATTTGAGATTTGAAAACTGCTATAGATATCTGACAGTTCACTCATTGGATACAATTTATCATTGATGATGATTCCTTTTTTCGTGTAAAAACTGCATTTACTATAAATCTACGTTCAAATTCTTGCTCTGTTCTGCTTATCTAGATTTGCAATACGTGTTTGTGTTTTTGTGTGTGTATTTATGTATGCATTTACAATTTTTTCTTAAAGCAATAGAAGCTTCTTATTTTGGGCCCTCTGATACAGTCTTAGTCAGTTAGTACGTTGGATGGGAGTGAAAGCTGAAGAGCTGGGAGTAGAAATATATCCGGGATTTGCTGCTAGTGAGGTACTTCCGGTTTTACTTTACTAGTACCACCAACCTTTTTTTGTTCATTTTTTTTTTGTTTTGGTCAGATATTATTTGATGCAAACAACAAAGTTATTGGCATTGGAACTAATGATATGGGAATTTCAAAAGATGGTTCGAAGAAGGAAAATTTTCAGCGTGGCGTTGAGATTAAAGGTTGCTTCTTAGCCCACGTCTTTCTCTTATACGCGTTTTTAATTGCTTTGTCACAGATTTTTGGGAATGTTTGTCTCATCTTCTGTATGTGGCAGTGACATATAAGCTTCCATGCTGCACCTTGTTTAAACCCTGAAGCTAGTCCATCAACTTGACCATGATTAGACCAATAGTTGGTTTTTCAAGTGTTGGTGAACTTTTCTCACCTCTACTTTGGAGAATTGGGAAATGAACTTTTTTAGGCATGTTGTCATAGCATAAGATTTGTTTGGTTCTTGATAGAGAAAGCGTTTACCTTCATTGTTGCTACGGCATACTACCTCCGGTCCTAATTATAAGAGCCAGTTAACTAATTTGAGGAGACTAAGGAAGTAAGTTGAGTTAGTTATTTATCTTAAATAGGTGTTGTTGTCTTTCCTAAAATATCCTTGCTAATCAAGTATATTGACTAGAACTCTTATTATTAGAAGGGTTACTTTGAAAAAAATGTATAAATATGGAGACAAAGTGGATTGGGGTCTTATATTTAGGACCAAAGTAAAAGTCAAACAGGGTCTTATATTAAGGACCGGTGGTAGTAATATGTTAGAGGAGACCTAGTGAACATTTATCTGTCAGGTCCAAAGAAAAGAACATTGCTTCTGTATGATTTAATCAGTGATTGGTTTTCTTTTCTAACCTCTGGTTTAAGAATATGGGTATGAAATACATGAATATAGTGTCATAACATGTACTACTAAACACAGTTAAACCTTCATCAAGTCACTTTATTTTCAAGCTTTTTTTTTTGTTTTTTTAAATTGAGACCTGTGATTAAATTCTTGAGTTTTCTGTGAATTTAGTTATTTGAGCTTTTTTTAGACCAATTGTGATACTTTGTTAACTATATAAATATGTGATGACCAAAAAAATTTTATAAAGAAGCAATCATGCAGGTCGCATAACACTTCTGGCTGAGGGATGCCGAGGATCATTATCAGAGGTTTTAAAATTGAATTTAACAATTATTACTCTCGTTTTCCTTGTCAATTGATGTTTTACTACCAAAATCTCTTATCCCACTCCCAATGTACCCTACAGAAAATTATAAAGAAGTTCAGCCTGAGAGAGAAGAGCAGGGCACAACATCAGACATATGCCTTGGGAATTAAAGAGGTATGGTTACTTCGCAATTTCCTTTGTTTGAAGCAATTCGTTTATGATGATATTGTTCTCACTTTCATTTTTAGTGAAAAAAGTGGAATCTTTCTTGTTAATGTTCTTTTGTTCAGTATATCCATGATATGGAAATCTTTATGCCTTTTTGTAACAAAACTAATAACCTTCATGATTAAATATTTGTCTCACATGGGTTTACATTATATAACTTTATACAATAGGTTTGGGAAATTGATGCAGAAAAGCACCAGCCTGGGGTAGTACTTCACACACTGGGCTGGCCCTTGGATCATAAGACTTACGGGGGATCATTTCTGTATCACATGAATGATAGACAAGTAAGTTTTTTTTTTTTAACCATCATAGATTCACAATCTTCCTACATTGTGGACATTTGCACCTCTACAAGAAATTCATTAGCTCGGAACTTGCATTGAATTGATTGAGGCGGTGTCTTTTTCTTTAGTAATCACGGTAATAGTAGTTTATATTAATTTAGCTTTGCCTGTACATGCAAAAATTGACGGCATCATGAATCTTTAATGTTTAGACTATGGATTGTATTGCTTGATTGTTTTCTGCTAAATGTATTCCTTGAAATTCCATGGCACGATTTTGTCCCCCCCCCCCCAAAAAAAAAAAACATGTTTCAACTTGGTGGAGTCGTCTACCTCCCTTCATGGTTTCCTGTTTTGACCAGAAATTAACATATGATGAGTTGGTCACGAGCTACATGATATGGATTGTTTTGTTACTCCAAAATTTTCCTTTGCTAATGGAATAACTAATGCCATATCTCACTTTGCTAATGATGTATTGTTTTCATTTCAACTATATCAATCTTCTTCACTATGGCAGATATCTATAGGCCTTGTGGTTGCTTTGAACTATCAGAACCCTTATATGAATCCTTATGAGGAATTCCAGGTAAGATACATAATTTAATTTTATTTGTTTGAGAAGTTCTCAGGCTTCTATTTTCAATTCAAGTATATGTTACTCAATTTACTTCCTACTTCGTAGTTTTTGAATACTTGGGAAAATAAAGGAAAATAGCAACCTTATATGAATCCTTATGAGGAATCCCAGGTAAAATACATATTATAATTTTATTAGTTTGAGGAGTTCTCAGACTTCTATTTTCAGGTATATGCTTCTCAATTTAGTTCCTGTTTCGTAATTTTTGAATACTTGGGAAATTAAAGGAAAATAACATGTTACAAAAACTGTTTCATGGGAAGAACCATTCTATCCACCATTTTCCCGCTCCAGAAAGCAGAAACATCTGGAATTTCATGGTATACGACTTGGCACATTTGGGCCTTCCTTCTAATATGACGTCTTTTGCCATCTTTATTTCCATGGTGTCTGAGTTTGCTAGTTACATATTTTTCTAAATAATGTACAGAACTCAATTTCATGTAACCTGGTTAGCCATTTTGACACTTCTGAGGTGAATTTTTCATCCTTTGATGGCATGGGTGATGAAATTTTTCAAGATATATGTGTATGAACATACTACATATAAATAAGAAAGTCATCACTTAGCTGGGAAAATGTAACTATTATATATATATATGGGTTAATATAATCTTTGGTCCCTCAAGTCTGCCCTTATTTTGGTTTTGGTCCCTCAAGTTTCAAACTATAAGTTTTGGTCCCTAAAGGGGCAAAATGGTCCAAGTTTTTATTGGGTTATAGGGATCAATGTTATAAATGAAAAGAAAGTTAAAGAACCAAAACCTATATTTTGAAACTTGAGGAATCAAAACCAAAATGAGGATAAACTTGAGGGATTAAAGTTTGAATTAACCCTATATATATATATATATATATATTTATATATTTAACCTTTTGTTAGTTTTCTTGGTTTGTTGTATAAATATAGATTCTTGTTGAAACTTTTAAGTGATGTTGCACTTTATGAATCCCTGATGCTTTTCTCTCTCCCCTCGTCGACCAGAAACTTAAGCATCACCCTGCAATCAAAACATTTCTGGAAGGTGGAACAGTCATCCAATATGGAGCTCGAACTTTAAATGAGGGTGGTTTGCAGGTGGGCTAGCTGCAACTCTTTCGTGGATATATGGAAAATACATTTCTTGTTTTCTTAATAAATTGTGAATCCAAAGTATTGGCCAAGATGTGTTCCAAACAGCAACTGCTTTAATGATCTCTGCCGTAAAATTTGATGGTAGTCAGTAGTTGGCTAAGGTTGGAAGGATCAATGTTCGATTATTAATTTCCCAGATATTCTATATCCACGTCCATGATGAGCAAGAGAAGGAAAACTGCAATAACTTTTTGTTCTCTTACTGGGAGTTTAAATTACTTTAACCTATTTTGTAATACAAATACAAATATGATTCTAGTTGAATTTCAGTCTATCCCCTATCCAGTATTCCCTGGAGGAGCAATTATTGGATGTTCTGCTGGCTTCTTAAATGTGCCCAAGATAAAAGGAACTCATACAGCTATGAAATCAGGTAATAGCTTGCCCATACTTCTGATGGCTTATTTTTTTTCCTTTTCACTGAATACTTTTTTTTTTTGGCTAAATTGAGTGGTCTTTTAAATTGATGGCTTTGATCAAAGGAGTTTCAGATAACAATATTTATATAGTCCATCTAAATTGTTATTTGTTATTGTCTGTGTATTGCCTTTATGATTTATCCCTAAAACATATAGCATAAAATTCAATAAGTGTCAATGTTTCAAGCTAACATTGGGCTATGAGGATTTATGGTGTTAACGTGTGTAGTCTCATAAATCGGATACTTCTTTTGAAGGAATGCTTGCAGCTGAAGCTATATTCAGTGTGCTTAATGAAGGTCTGGAAATGGACGAATACTGGGATGCTTTGAGGAAATCATGGGTTTGGGAAGAACTATTAAGAGCTAGGAACTATCGACCCGTTAGTGAAGCAAACCATTGGCTTATTTTCTGTTATCTCTACCTCTCTTCCCATTTGAAACTTAACCTTGAATTTTTTTCCGAAGCTTGTTTGTCTGTTTGAGATCTTCAATTTAAATGGCTATTTTTTCATTGTAGGCCTTTGATTATGGACTTATTCCAGGACTTGCCATAAGTGCTTTGGAACAGTAAGATATAACTTCTCTTATTTTGCCTTCACTTGGATAACCTGCGTTCGTCTCTGTGTACTTCCCTTTTCAATACTCAAACTTAGCTTACCCCTGTGCCCTGCAGTTACATACTCAAGGGGAGGCACCCAATTACCTTGAAGCATGGTGAACCTGATCATGAAGCTACACATGTAAGAAAACTGCTTAAAGTTTATGTAACGTGTGTATTTATAAAAATTTTCTTTCATGGGGAAATGACTATGAAGATGCAATTTATTTTATCCTCATTGATGGTTAGGTGTGCCCTGAAAACCATTTTCTTTAAAGGTTTTGGAGATTTTGTAGCAGCTTGCAGTTTAAGCGATTTTTTTTCCCCTTTTGATATATATGCTTTGCTTATGGTAATGGTATATTAGAAGAGCTGATTGTCAATAAAGCACAATAATAACTTGTTATCCATGTAGCTGACCTCTCTTAGTGGGATAAGACTTGTTATTGTATACATGCTTTGCTGAACTTTGTTATAATGAAATGTCTGTATTTGCAAGGGTTTCCTTTCTCCATTACACTTAATATGGGGTAGGGTGTTGTTTCTGTCTTGTGGTGCTTTGCCATGGTTTTTTAGTGACTGACAGTTATGTTAGGGATTGAGAAGCTTAATGCTTAATACGAACTTCTTTTTCCAGCCTTTTAATTTATATTCAGAAGAAATTCTTGTTCCTTTTTATGTTCTTTCTTTTTATCTAATAAATGTTTCTTTTTCAACTAAGAAAATGTTATTGTACAAATCATGGGCACTTAAAGAAGGGGGGGTAGAGGGAGACCAAGAAGGAGAAGTCATTAAACAAGATCTCTTAGTTAATGGCTTATCAGCATCATGTGATCTATTTAGCCGATTTTATTTAGTGGGATAAGGATTTTGTTGTTGTACAAGTTTGGGCACTGTAGCAAATGACATGAGAGAGACATGGTCGTTGACAAATCAAATAGAACGTGTCTTTCTTAATTTGTGGAATTTCCCTATTGCCAAAGCAAGTTGTGTTTTGTTGCGGATGAACTGTGTTAGAAAGATCTTTTCTGGAGCCTCTTAGTAATTCAATTTCGGCATGACAGAAGCACTATAATTTCATAAAAACAACTAACTCTGATTGAGATTTTGCGAGTAGTACCTATTAATAACAGACTGAAGGGATGTGATAATTTAAGTTATGACCCTTGACATTTTTTTCAGGTTGCAAAGTTATATTCTCCTATTCCTTACCCAAAGCCGGATGGCGTTTTCTCATTTGATGTACCTACCTCATTGCACAGGTTTGAGATCATTAATTCTTCTTTATTGCTTAGTGCTGAACCGATTGATGAGTGGTTATACGAAGAAAACTAGGTGACGGTGATGAGAGGGAAGTTGTGCCGTTAAGTATGTAAAGAGTTGGGGGTCACCAAACTCACATAACTAGCAGGAATGTTTAAGCTGAAACTGGATTAAAAAAAGAGGAGGTTAAGAAGGGTATAAAAAGGACGAAAGCTGAGCCACCAATATGTAAAAGTCAATTATTTTTCTTCACCATTACTTGCTTATAACTTCTTCGCCACCCTATTGCCATTTATTTCAGCACAGTTATCAATGATATGGTGAAAAATGATGTGATGCAACCTAACACTTACTAATAGAATAATTCATCTCATAGGCATGCAGTAATTTGCGTGTGCTGGTGGAGAAATGGCAGAGGTCCTATCATGATTTTTTACTAGCTAATTAAAATACCAATAATCTCCTTTATTGCTTAATCAAAGATAAAACTCCTGCTTTTGAAGGTAAATACTCCTCCGGTCCTAATTATAAGACCCAATTGACTTATTTGAGGAGATTAAGGAAGTAAGTTAAGTTAGTTATTTATAATAAATAAGTGTTGTCATTCCTAAAATATCCTTGCTAATTAAGTATATTGGCTAAAACTATCATTATTAGAAGGATTATCTTGGAAAAAAATGCATAAATATAAGAAACAAAATGGATTGGGTCTTATAATTAGGACCAAATAAAAAGTCAAATTGGGTCTTATAATAAGGACCGGAGGAGTACATTGGCTTTTCCCAAATCTCCTGATATTTTAAGGTTGTAGGCAAAGTCTAAAGACCAAAGCGTTGCCTTTTCCCGAATAATCCTATCTAAGGTTGTCTTTTTCTTCTTCAAACCCATTTTGCAAAAGGATAAGAAAGTGAGAGCTTATAGGAACTATGCGATTGTTAGAGGGTCAACCTCCTTCCACAGTTCCACCTAAAATTAAGGCTGGAAAAAGTCTCTCTCGTGAAGAAGCAGTAGGACAACATAAATTAAAGGAATGCGTCGCAATTTAATTTAGAGGATAAACGCATATAGCCATCAAGTATTGTGAATGCAAAGTGGGGAAGGCTTTGCGGCTTTCATACCGTGTAACGGAGTCCCAGGTTCCCAGACCCCCTCCTTTCTTGATGTTAATGTTTTTGGTGTTTACAAAAACTAATGGTGGACATTGTCACCGAATACATCATTTGCAGCTTTTTGAACCTTGCTTTTATTGTTTTTGATTGTAGGAGCAATACAAATCATGAACATGATCAACCTCCTCACCTTCGGTTGAGAGATCCAAAGATCCCTGAGCTTATAAATTTACCAGTGTATGCTGGTCCTGAGTCGCGATATTGTCCTGCACGAGTATATGAGTAATGTCTTTTTACAGCTGATTGATTCTGAAGGACTTTCAGGTTTTGGATTTTCACTTGATCTGTATGTGTCTGAAATACAGGTATGTCCCGGATGAGCAGAATCAGCCAAAATTGCAGATAAATGCTCAAAATTGCTTACATTGCAAGGTAAGCATCCCAGATCAATTTGTAGGATTGTAGTTTAATTTGTGCCGGACGCTCCTGTGAACACGTCGATAGTTCAAGAGATTACAAACATAGTTGCTCTAGTTACTGATGCCAAACTAAACTGCACATTACGAAGGATGAAGGGAGGGCCAAAAGTCGTTGGCGCCCAAAAAAATGATTTTTGTATCTTGGGGACACTTGTTGATATCACTCCTGTTTCATCTTGGAATAACAATGTCCGTTAAAGAGGAATTGAATTCTTTATGTTATAGGGTTTAATTGTTTTTTCCGCACGCAGGCATGTGATATTAAAGATCCAAAACAAAATGTAGAGTGGACGGTGCCTGAAGGCGGCGGGGGCCCGGGCTACTCAATCATGTAGATACAGACAGAGATAACCCGTACAGTGTCCCTGAAAATAGGGTTGGAAGATGGACGTGTCCCTGGGGTATAATATCTTCCAGATTAATGTGTAGTGACACTTGATTCTAAATTACTTCCCTTTGAAAGTATGCCCACTGCTTCGAAGACAGGTTCCAACGAACAAAACCTCATGTTCAGTTATAAATGCAAATGCATGCAAGTCCGCTATAAAAATTGTAATGTATTGCTTAATATGATAAATCCTGGCACCAAAGCGACATCCTACTACCAGCTCAAGTAGATATAAATGGTAAAAGCTCACCATTTGAAGAAATGATTGGATAACACATTGATCTGAGTAAAACATTTGACTTTCAAAGTCTCAAGACCCCACGGTTAGCAAAGTACTCCTCCCCCACGCCAAAAAAAAAAAAACCCACAGCAGCATAATACCACCGTCATTTTCGAGATCTATCGAAAATTCTGGTTCCCTGGGCCCCAGGAAAATGAAGTCAGCCATTTCGTTGATCAGAAAATATAAACAACCGCCTACCATATCAAAAGAGCCATCAAGGCAACCGAAAGAACCACAAGGTTTAGCGGACACGAGTCAACCTTATAGATCTTACATGGTAAAAGTGCAAACAAATCAATGTAATACTCTACGACAGACAATAAGCAGAGCTGCTAGGAATAAATCAATATAACATGGCTATAGCCTAATCAGCCTCCAGGTATGAGGCAAATACAAACTAAGGGAGTGATTGGGAATTCCTCAACAATCCTTGGCTGCCGGTGAATTTCGATCTTTGGGGCTTGGAGAACGAGTAGTTGTTCTCATTTTTAAGTCCCCCGTTTGTTGCTGCTGAAGCTGATGCAGCTGATGTTGCTGAAGCTGCTGCTGCTTCTGAGACTGAATCTGGAGTTGTTGAAACTGTTGTGTTGCCAAGAGAGTGTGCATGGCGTGATTGTTGGGATAAAATTGCTGCCCTCCTCCAAAAGGAGCAAAGTTCATCACAGGTCCACCATTCATCATAGCCTGCCCCGTCACTAGTTTCAAATGCTGTATTTCCTCTTTCAACGCGTCATTTAAAGCTACAGCCAAACAATTATAATCAATTAGTTTACTAATCTCCCTTGGGGTATTCATAATAGTCCATCCACCTGACAAAGATCGGGATGAACTGTCTATGTCTTAAATCTGGAACGGTTGATCCATTTTTTGCAATCAATGACCTAAACGTAAATCCAAATTTTAGTTTTCATGCATTTCACTACCGTACTTGAAAATTATAATAAATAAAATCCAAAGGAAATTATCAGAAGGATAAAGCGACTGGCTCGACTGCATAAGGAGTCAGTTAACAACACTTTTTATAACCAATGCAAACGTGTAGGCCATACGCCTTTGAAACATGTATGCATGTGCTTACCATCTTGCAAGTGAACTTGCTGTTCCATAGTCTGCAACCTGAGCTTCAGCTCACTGTTCTCAGCATTCAGCCCATTTGTATCTCTCTGCTCAATAGAAAGAGAGAGAAAAAATGGAAACAAATTTGATTAACATTCTCCTATCAGCTTTTAAATCAAAAAGAAAACATGGCAATAGCCAACCACCCTACTCAAAAAGGCCAACATCTAAATAACAGGAAGACTTGGTAGCAGTCAAACTGGGGGCATTCACTCCCACAAGATGCAGATCATCCACTAAGGAAATACCTGCAGGAGAGTTAATTGTGCAGACAAAGATGTTGCTTCCGTTTGAAGGGTCTGCACCTTCCTTTCAAGCTCAGCAATATAGCGCATCTTCCTCTCTTTTGACCTCGCAGCAGACTGCCTGTTTGCCCATATCCTGTTGCACATTTGCCAATTTTAGTCATGGTATCCAGCGCAACAAAAAAGGCAGTACACCTATGATGTATTATTATAATTAATTTTAAATGTCATGGTAAGTAACGGCCACTAGCCGTTAGATAGGTTGTTAAGAACTTTTGTTAGTAGCATTAGTTGTCGGACACTTTCATACTTCCACCCACGCCTATAAATAGATATGGAAGGATATCCTACTGTACAGATTTGATTACCCAGGAGTAATAAGGCACTATTCAGATATGCTTTCTGCCTTCTCTCGTATTCTCTCCTGTTCATCTCTTTTCTCTCTGGTTCTTATCTTCTCATATCTACTCCTAATCTTTCCTGAGCTCTCTTCTATTCTTCTCTTTTTCTTGTTCTATCCTATCAACCTACCTTATTTTACCTACCTTATTTTACATGTCTCCAACACCACAATGTCAACAGAACTCCCAGGAAGATTTATTGGATCTCACTAAATTCCAGAACAATGTAAACCACAATGGTAATGGCGTATGTTATTCCCATGTAACTGAAGCAAAACTGAGGTTCTATTAGGTAACGGTAAATTGTTATAGAACACTTGTCCTGTTGCTCAAAGTACCAATGACTACTTATTTTTTCGGGAGAGTGGCCACTACTCATTCTTTTTATAAGATAGAATTACCTACTTCATCAAAACCAAGAAAACTTATCACCTAAAAAAACCAAGAAAACTAATAGATGTCTTTAAAATTACCTCATCTTCCAAATAAAGCATAAAACAAGATTAAAGGGCAGCACAAATAAAGGGAAGGCACACCGCTGCACAATAGAGCGGAGGGATGTTTACATAATTATATTGAAAATACACTCAGATGTACTATAATACAAAACCCGCATCAGGCCCCCAAAGCAAGCTAAATTGGCAAAACAAGACTTTTAACCAAAAAAAATAATAACAATACCTTTTTGCACGCTTTGGGTCAACTAAGGCAAGTTCCGCAAGCTTGGCAGCTGACATTGCTTTTTTGGAATCAGCTGCAGAACCTTCTTCAGAACCTGATACTAAGATCTCGGGTTTAATGGATGTCGACCCATCCATGGACTGGCTGTGTTGGTGCCTAACTCTGGGCCTTTCATTAGCATCAATACCAGCATTCTCTACAGGAGAGGCCACAATTCCTGCTGTTGGTTCCAATTTTGGCGCTGGAACTGATGCAGCAGCTTCACCCACTTGAAATGCAGATGTCGCAGATGAAGAGTTAAATTTATCCATATCAAGGTACATCGATAGTAAGTCTTCCTCAGTCTCATCAGAAAAGGAAGGCCCATCAGCACCTCCAACTACACCAAGGTCACTGTCAAAGCTTAGATCATCCGGCAGGGTGAGAATCTCAGAATGGGCCCGTCTATGACCCCTGTTTCTAGGAGGATTATCAGGCATCCTGCTAATATCATGACTGAAGCCACTAGAGTCCGAGCTGGTACCGGGTACCAGCGGCGGAAAAGATGACGATGATGAGGATGCTTCTGGTTTCACGTTGAAAGAGCTTCCCGGAGGTGAGAAGCCTGAATAACGTCCCGAAGGCGGAAGACCTCCACCGTAAATAGAGGATTTATCATTATCCATGGAAAATCCCCAACTCCAATTGCTCGAAAGCGAAAGAAAATCCTTAGAGGCTGCAGGTTAAAAAACATATTTAATCACTCCGACGACCAAATTTTCATCAAAAGAAAATTCCAACAGAAGAGGAAAATCACAGAGGATTTTATCTATAAGCACCTCAGAATTCAAAGATACGTCTCCAGGAACTGAAACTCTCACCTTGAAGCCTGAAGCTGGAACCCTAGAAGCTATCACCGGTAAGACAAAGCATCCACAGGAAGCAAAACAACCAACCTCAGAGTTGCGTTTGCGTAGATCGCAGTACTCAGAATTGGAAGATCGACGCAGAAAACGCGTTCGAAAGACACGACGCGCAAACTCAGATTCCGCGTTCAGAAGTCAACGAAACCAAAACCCTAGAACCCATACAACACGGCGAGCTCTGGGTTATTGCCTGCGAGCGGTACATGTATATAAATATATGCGCCCCGAAACCTTTTTCTTTTTCGCCCTCTATTCGGAAATGGAATTCAAATCTGGGAGATTTGATCGAACAGATCGGACAGGGAATTGCAAAAGGCAATAAAATGGGGAGGTTTTCAAAGAAAGCGAAATGAAATAGAAAAGGAGAAGAGAAAATGGCGATCGAGGGGGGGAGGGGGAGGGTTTTGGAACAAAGAAAATGAGATCCGTGATAAGAGATGAAAGAGAAGCTTGGGAGCGAAGAGATTGAAGGCAAAGAGGTAAAGGAGCAATGGAGTGTGTCGGAAGGAATAGAATTGCAAAACTAAATATCCGGGAATTGTGTATTGTCCCCCACATTTTATCCATTTATTTAAAGAATTAACATAAACTCGGTATTTTAAATTTATTCTAATTTTGATTTTGATCTATAAATTTTAAATTATATTTAATCTCTCAAATTTTTTATTTAAAATATTAGTTATTATTATCTAATAAAAACTTAGACTATTTACTTTTAGAAAGATTAGAACTTATAATTTTAAATTTGAGAATCAAAATTAAAATAAAAACAAATTTAAGAAATCAAAATAAAAATTATATTAACCCTTATTTAAAATTAAACCTAATTCGGAAGTGAAGGTCCAAAGGGATAAGGGAGAGATGGTACAATGTTGGGCTAAAAATCAAGGGAAAAAAAAAAGGGGAGCTTGACGAGGCTTCCATTTAATTTTAATAATTCAAGAATTCTTATGGGCGATTGCAGGCCCATTTGTCGTCACAATTAAAATAATTTATAAACATGTTTTATATAAATTAAGATAATTTTTTTTCTTATACCTATTTTATATTTTTATAAATCAAGATTAAAAAATTATTTATAACTCATTTCAAATATAAATTCAGAACACGAAACAACTCACACGAACGATGAACCCAATGTCTGCAATTCTCTTTATTTCGATTCCCACTCCACGCACACAGAAAGCTGGCAACACACAGTTGGTTTTCTGCGAACCCACACGCACCTACCCAAGTCATGATGGGAGCAGGGAGGCGAATCGACCAGCTAATGGAGCCAGAGGCCCTCTTCCTGATGAAAGGAGCTTGCGCCCTGTAATGAAGGGTTAGTGAGGAAAGATGATAGACTAGCCGCCGGGCCAGTGGGGCTCGAGTTCTGAAGAGTGAAGAAAAATTCCCAACTACGTAGCAACATCTCTAGCTACTCCCGCTACTTCTCTGTGGAATGCCCACCGTTTTGCGCCACTAAACTCTTCCTATTCCTTGCTAAACAGTAATACATTTATATAAGAAAAAAATAAACAGTAGTTTTTCAACATTTAAATCAGTTTTTTTACCACTCTATCTTTTGTGCGTGCCACCCCAGGTGACGAATAGAAATTAGAAAGGCAACATTCTCTGCCACCAAATATGATACAATAGTAGCACATACAGATCATTCTCGTGGACTTCAACCAGCAAATCACTGGTGCCCCTCACGCCAACAGACCAAAACATAATTTAGTAACATCACTCTCATTTGGACTCAAATTAAGCATCTGAAATTTCTACAAAGAGATGGCATCAAGAAACTATTATTGCAGAAGGATTCATCATCCTAATCTATACAGATTAAGTATATATAGAACCAGAATTTTATAATTTCAAGCTGAAAAAGGCCTAAAAATTATCTTTTGCTTGGCGGATGACACCTAAGGCGTGTGCATCATCTGCTGTGACTGCAATGTTTAAAGACCGCCGAATTTCCGTGCTCATCGTACGAAGGAATGGATTGCAGGCCTTTTCCATCTTCAGGGTAGTTGGGATCTGGTAAACGGTTCTTTATTAAATTTTTCATTAGGGAAAAAGAAAAAAAGTAAACCAAATATGCGGAAACAATGCAACATATCCACAAAGAACTCGTTAACATACCCTCTTTACTTTCTTGATCATCTACTAACTTAAGAATGGAAAAACCTACAAGGACCTTGAACCAACAGATGCATAGGGCCTCTGCTAAACCCAGGAACATGACTTGAACCAACTACACTGTATCTGTAATTCTGCACTAAGGATGGTGACGTTTTCAAAGTCTAACAAACACTCTTAAAGCTCCAAAAGGTCGGGGGAACGCAGAATATCAAGCTTCATGTATGGCTAGCTTTTTCCTTTTTAATTTTTTTTTTCCCTTTTGTTTAAACGTATACCAAGGTCAGCTTTTCATCAACTCAACTTTGCAGGCGGAAAAAAAAAAACTGATAGATTTTACTTGTAAAGCTCATCATAATTAAGCCTCCCCCAAAATTAAGTTTCAAGTAAAGGCCAAAGATAAGGGAGGACAATTCAGGGCTTCCTGTTCGTGGGTTAACCAATGATTGATTTCACTTGTCTTGTTCATTATTCCTTAACCATTAAACCTTACACCAAGAATTTCAAATTATTATTATTAATTTTCCAAATAGAGAAGGGGGAACCGGGAGGAAGGGGGTGAGGAAAGGACTCTTCAACGTTAAAGAAGCAAAGCTTTGAAAATTACCGTGGGCAAGCCCTTACTTCGAAGATGGGCTACATGGGCAGCATAGGAATGAAGTTCCTTGTTTGATGGTTCTATAGATAGCGCAAACTTTGAATTACTCTGAAAATTCAAAAGTTCAAGGTCATAATGCTTGAGACTAAAAAGTTAAACAGGGAAGACTGGGGAAAATAATTAAAGTAACCAACCAGTGTGTATTCATGACCACAGTATATACTTGTATCGTCTGGCAATGACATGATCTTTCTTAGAGAAGAGAGCATCTGTGGCATAGATAATGAAAGTTAAAATCCTCCACAATTGAAAATGAAAATCAACATTACAAGCTTATCAAGCACCTGACTTTGACACCACTACAAAGCCAAAACTTCTGTTTATGACCAAACAACTTCAGACAGCAACAACATATCTAACAAAGCATGTTAAATTTCCAAGTCATACATGCTCAAAAATACATGTTCAACATTGAAAATATGAAAAATCAGTATAATCACTCCAAAATAAACAACACCACAGTACCTCCAGAAAATCACAGAACAGAAAATAAAAACAGATTATTTATGGGTTCATTGCATATGTTCCTATACTGACTACAGACTCAGTTTCTATATCTACAACTTAAGAACGACAAATGTAAGGATAACAGGAAAGCAGCTCTGATATCATATTAAATAAAACCTTAAACAATTACTTCAACATATGTTATACATTTTTGTAATAAAAAATTATGAATTATTGTCTTAATGTTCTAATCACAGGATAATAAAGTCTTTATCTGCCATTTACATAACTATGATTCAAGTAATTAAGGCCTTAGCAGGCATGACAAAGGACTTTTGGCCAAGGGGGAAAAGAACAAACACACCCAATAAAGATGTATTCAACGATAAAGCCACTTAATCACTTATAGCTTAACATATATTTCTCAAACATCAAAAGATGGAAAAACAAATGCAATTCACATCGACCTGCTCAGGGGTTCCTTCAAAGAGCTTGCCGCATGATAAGCTGAAAAAAGTGTCCCCAGTAAAAATTGCTCCAGATCCAGGAAAATAGAAGCTGATGTGACCTGCATTCAGTATAAAAATATGACAGATTTATAAAATGGAGATCAGGGCATTGAAGAAACAAGATAATACAAAGGGAATGACATTTAGGCCTGCTGAAGAAATAGCCTAACATTACGCTAAGCGATAAATCAGACGCCTTCATTAAAAGACACCACCCAAACCATAAATACTGGAGTGAAGTCCAGCCAATTCAAAGGAAGCTAATACCCAGGATTCTGTGAAAGTAAATAATTTAAGAAATTGTTTAATTATGAAGAACTTGCGTGACTTGAAGCACTAAGTTGAGAGTCATTAGAAAAGCTATGACCGCATTGGGTTAAGAAGTTTCAAACTGAAGTAAGATAGTGGCATCAAAAACTTTGCTTTAAATAGCTATAGTTGCATTGCTCAAAATCATTATTACAGCTTTGGAATAACCTTTGTACTCAACTATATAGTTGTTAATCAGTAAACTCAAGGTCAATTAGACAACACCATTTGATGGAAGAAATACGCTAGATATCATTGAATTCATGACTGACAACACAATGCTTGACGTCTAGATGATGCCATTCAATTCCAAAAGCCGTAAACTAAAAAAGCCAGAAAAGCACCAATTAAGCTGATTTGCATGAGCTGATTGAGTTAAAACTAACAGATCAACCTTAAAGAAAACTTGCTAATGCAAATAGGCAACGAATGTGACCTCGAGTATGACCAGGTGTCTCCATTATAAGCACCTCGTGGCCTGCAAACATCCACATATCTCCATCATTCAAATAAATGTCAATACCAGGAATCCTTTCCTTGTCTACTCCTGCACCAATCACCTAAAATGCAACAAGGGAAGAGTATGCATCAAGAGGGGGGAGAAATACCCATAGCAATGTTTCAACAAATCTTAAGTTTGAATTAAATAGGCATAATACAGAAAAGATAAACTCAAACTCAATCACATCTTACAATATTAAAAAATTAACGCTAACAAGAGAATTCAGCAATTCCAATGCTTAATCAGCCATAAAAGCTTCTACTATGTGAATGACTGGTACGGGCAAACTTACAACAATGTACTTTTATGATTATCATTTATCATGTGGACAGAAATGTCTAAATCCATGGTGGTGTAGAGCTGGACAAGGTAGCAAGGGAATTTATTTTTGAGCAGCCTCCACCGTAGAGGGTAAGGGGATGAGGGGAGAAAAAAGTTGGGGATGGGAAAGTGAGAAAGGAAAACTCTTCCATAAACAAAAGCAGCAATAAGACAAACAGAGCAAAGCAAAATTCTAACTTCAAATGTGTTCTTTGCATGGGAAATTGGACTTCAGACGCAAATCAATGATATTTTTATTAGATGATGTTCATCTTGACAGTAAAACATTTAAAAGCTAATTAGAATTAAAAAATGAATAAAGCTTTTCTTTGCATGGGAAATTGGACTTCAGACGCAAATCAATGATATTTTTATTAGATGATGTTCATCTTGACAGTAAAACATTTAAAAGCTAATTAGAATTACAAAATGAATAAAGCTTTGCAACAACATAAAAACACCATACCTTCGCTCCGTACCTTGCTTTCAACTCTACATTCCCACCGGTGTGGTCATGATGATGGTGAGTGTTCAGTATGTATGTCAAATTACGATTTTTCTTGGTCAAAGCATCAATAACAGGCACAGCTTCAGAAGGATCAACAACGCCCACCGTCCCCGTATCTACATCATGTAACAGATATGCGTAATTGTCCCGGAGGCACGGCACCTGAAAATTATATTTGAAAATAATGGTGAAATAAGGCCACAAATGTTACGTTGACTCTGTCAGCAAATTGATTCAAAAATCTCATAGCTCCGATGATAGAATATTTCAAAGAAAGTTTTGACAATCTAAACAAGGAATAATTGCTCACCAATTCAATTTGCAATGAGGAAGACATATTCACTACGCTGCAGAATTGATTAACTCTCAGTGATCGACTAGCTCCACGTAATGTCTTCAATGGTGTAGAAAAGAGTCGCATAAAACCATATAGAAGACTTTTTCTGAAGCAGAGTTGCCTCACATCCGGCCACACGCAAAACCCACTTCTCACCTACAAGACAGAGATATCCAAATCCAATTACCGTGAAACGAACTGAATAACAATCTCCTAGCGCAGAATAAAGCATCAGCAGGCTATTACCATATAACAACATAGCAAGCTATGGACAGGGAGATTGGGGGGGGGGGGGGACACACGCACGCACGCACGCTAATTAGTACACGATTAGCCTCCGTTACAAGTTCAATGTCCACATTTCACCATGGGTGCAGAAAGGCTTTGAAAAAATAAGAAGCAGGAGAAATGTTATTAAATGAAGAAATGAAAAATACAGGTTATCACATGAGTCCCGAGCAAAACACACAGGCCAATTCCTCAAAGAGTTCGAGGAGGAACGAGGAATATAAAAATATGCTTCCATGATTGCAGGCACGGAAGTAAAACAACAGCCAACAATGACAGGAGAAAATGGAAGCTACAAAAGTTAAAAAAAAAAAAAAAAAAAGGTAGGCAAATATGGACGTAAGGCATCCAGTGTTAGGATCGAGGAAAACAGCCATTCTGTGTGCAAGTTGCGTCCCAAATTGAAGGGAAATCAGCATGACCCAGAAATGCAATCGAATTTCAGGCAAGAGTAGAAGAATTAGAGAAGGATGAGTGAAGAATTCAGGTAAGAGAGAAAAAGAGAATAACAAACCCTAGAGCAAGGGAAGGTGGCCATGGCAGAGGAGGCCTTAGGGAGGATCCGGGGCATCATGGCTTGAGGAAAAGCAAAGAGAAATTAAAAAGAAGGAACGTGGGATGTGAGTTGGCACCGATGCAGTTGGTAGGCTAGCCGCTCTCTACTGTTCCCTTGAAAAGCCTGTTCCCACCGTCTCCCTCCTCCACGCTTTTTCCCCTCACAATTCATTCATCAAAATATAAGTAAATCGCTTTCCTGTCCAGCGCCAATTTTTTTAATATTTTCATTTTAATTAAACGGTATGCGTGCTTCCCACGTGTATTATTCTTCCCGCCGCATCGACAAATCAGAAATTTAACGTATGAAATATCGTTAGCTAGGGGTGAATTTACATAATTAATCATGTAAGTATACAGTTATATACCTAGCTTTTCAAGCTAAATAATTTCAATCCCCTTTTTAAAATTAATGAGTAAAATTATACAATTTAAAAAATTGAAATGCGCATAAGTCAACGACATTTGGATACTGACATTCGTTAATTAGGTTGAGCGAATATAGCTGGAAATAAGAATTTTGAAAAAGCATGTAATTGTTTCCCTAGTGCAACCAGTGGGCGCAACTTATAATAGCAAATATTAATAATATTAAGAAAGATTAATATATTAAACCCTATACTTTCCATCAATTTTTAAATATGTTCCCATTTTAGTTTTGAGTGTCAGACAATGGAAAAATAAAAAGGAAAGGAAGATTATGCTTCTTTGCATGACTCGATCCGGTAGTTATCATTTATTTATTCTTTATAGATTTTTAAGGGGTAAAAAAATGACCATGGCGATTAAAGGATAATGTCTGTCCGCATGAAAAGGAGTAAAGAACAATGTTGGGAGAATGCTGATAGGTACATTTTATATATCATCTACACACAAAGATAAGAATTAATTTGGATCCAATTCACTTGATTTTTTTTTTTACTTATCGAAGTTTTTGCTCATATCAGGTCTCATGAATAAGAAATAGGAGTATTTTGTGCATTTTGCAATGTTATGATATCTTATGTCGGGATTATTTATCAAAATAAAAGATTTTTTTTAGAAATAACAGTAATTATAATTACAAAGAGGTAAATCAATGAGTAAAATTTAGCCATCATAACAGGTAAACTTTGATATCACGATGCTCATGTTGATTGGATCAAATTATAATCTTTCATCATTTGCCCTTTAAAGTGTGCTGGAGTTAAAATTGGTTGGATCGGTGAAATTCAACCATATTACGATGCGGTTTGATGTGGAAATACTCCGGATAAATTGTTATTATACAGTCATAGGAATAGGACAGAAGCTGTCCAGTGTCTGGCGCCTCAAACGGGGAAAAGACTATAAAAATGAACAGAGAGAAAACATGTTTTGGAAAATGAGTAGAATTATGGAGAGACATTTAAAGGAGGGAGGGCGTGTTACGTGGAGGAAGATGGCAGGGAGGGACGGGACGGCGACCCTTGAGGAGGAGAAATGTTGAGGTATATCACTGTAGCTAAGGTTACTGTTATTTCACGAATGAATCTGTGGCTCGCCCCAACAACAAACGACCACTCCACATGTCGTAACACCTTTTATTTATCTTCAATCTTGGCTTTGTTCTGTGTAACAAGTAACACCATCGTTCCTCGCCAGTCTCCAGTCTATGACCTTGTGCTGTACCTTCATTTTTTTGCTGCTTGGATTATGATTATTTCTTCGGGCTACTCCCACCGCCGATGACTCTCCCAGTTTTCGGACATTCACCCCTTTTCTTTGGGTCGTCTATCACCGCTTCATTTACCGCCCAATCGCATTCAAAAAATGCGATTTGAAACCCGACAAAGCAGGCAGCCTCAATCTAAGCAACAACCGGACATAGCCATTGGATGAAAACCTTGTTATTGGATCAAGTTCTATTTCCCGCGTTCATAGTGGGCGCTACAAGTGAAGCGATTCGGCGGAAATTAAGCCACAAGAATCTCTTTCTGGGTTGGATGCGCACCACAGAGCCGGCATCAAATTCACCTCACGCCTCTTTTCCGACTTGACGGAAAAACTTGAGCTCCTTTCATCTCCGTACGCTGGATGCCTAAATGAACGCATTCGCATTTTAATACGGGACGACACAGCCTATATCCCTCTTCCTGAGTTACATCATATTGTTTCCTGTTATGTTAACCCTTTAACTGGGCTGGGCAGACACCATAACCCGAGAAAGATCAGTTTTGCTTATATTTTCGTTCGTATAGCCTGAACAATTCTCAGACAAATGGGGTAACCTTATTCGCAGTTCACAGTAGCTACTTCCTCTGATAAATAATTTACCACTCCACCTATACCTCAAACAAATGTAGGATTTATGTACAAAAAGAGAAGAAGAAAAAAATTTCTTTTTGGGGCAGGGCGCAGCGAGGGGGACCAGCTCAACTTCGGTGAGCAAGGTAGCCACGCCTCCTCAACCTAACAATCCGTCCTTCAGCTAAGGCATCTACCTATTTTTTACCTTTTCGATTTAGTCTCTGTTGCTTGGATCCGAGGTGATGATTGTGATCCACCACTTAGCGCGGCCGCGGCAGATTCAACGTGTGTTAGAAGATATTCATAAATCTTCTTCCTCAACCGGTCAATTGTCTCTGCTGATATCTGGCATGATTCTCCCTCAATCTTGTTCGACCCTATCTCATCTAGCCAATCATTTACACTCTTTAGCTGAGATAACATGCCGGCTATTTGGCCATTATCTGACAGAGTTGTCTCCCCTTCAGTATCCAAGAATTTCTCAACAAATCCCAAAAACCAGTCTCTGGACCGTGATTGTAGCATTTCGGCTAAATTTACCGCTTCGTCAAGCCCACTTCCCTTAACCCAAGGTTGAGGCGGTTGAGGCGGCTGCTTTTGTCCATTTGCTAACCCGTCACTTGTTCGACGGGGAGTTCCTTGCGAGGCATGTTTAGAATTGACTGCTGAACGGGTTTTTACCTGTGGTTTTGAAGAAGCATCTTCACGGCCATTTTCTAGAACTAACATGGGTTGACTTCCCAGGATAGTCTTTTGATGCTGACCATTACTCGAAGCTGGAAGCTTGGATGATTGAGGTTCTCTGGTAAAGACTGCAAAGGATGATAAATTGGTAGCTAAGGCAGCCTGAACCCAGGAAGCTGCATGCTTTTGCCTGTCTAATGTTACTTTTAGTGCTTCTTCCATTGTGTTCTTTTCATAATCTGCAGATGAACCGTCAGGAATGGTTTTTGATAGGGAGTCAGCAACTAAGCGAGCACCATTTAGGCTTGTATGAAGACTCAAAAACTGTTCTACTGCAGGCTGCGGGTTGTGTTCCTTTGCAGAATTACTTAGCTCAGAGTATATACTGCCAGAAACATCGCAAAAATATCAGGAAAAACTTCATGTGTCGCATTGTGCGAGCTAAAGTTAAAAAGCGGTTGAACCTGAAATCTATCTGTATGATTCAGCATTTCACCTAATTAAAAAAATTACAAAATTTCCAGCAAACTTGACAGATATACACAATAGGTTTTTCAAATTGAAATCAGAAAACAAAAGCCCAATTCTGACTGACACTGAGATGGATTGTTCCTAGTTCCTACACATTAATTCTTCAGTTTTCTCCAAATCTCTGAAGCAAACATCCAAGAAATTTCTGCCATGACTACAATTGCCAATTATTAGAAATAGTTGCTGTCAAGTGTTATCATCCCAACGATTTCTTAGTGGGAGTTTAGGCGGGGGGGAGGAAGGGAGTAGGGGTTAGCTATACAAATGAGGGCTTATCATCATTGTCAATGCTGACAATTCGTTTTCATGCAATGACTTGATTTGATAAACCAGTTTAAACCCACTTCCAGCTACTCCACTGCTAAAAGCGATAATAACCCCAAAAAAAAAAATGGAGACATTAATCTCAAAGTGGAGCTTAGCAGTGCGAAATTATTTCATAAATCTCACCTGAACTCAGATGAGAATGAATCACACTGAAGGAGCTGATCTGCAATTCTGCCTGTTAGACCTAACTTCCCCACAGACTTGTTAAACTTAAATTATATGTAAGATGTTCGGTCCTATTATACCGATTTAAATTCACTAACCATGCTCTGACTTCACTTGTTTGCAGTAGTTGCACTTCAATTTGAATTTTAAGTTTCTTTTTCCTTGTCTATTGCCTATTTGGAATTTATTGCATCGCCAACATAAAACACACTCTTCAATGCTGTCCTCAGTTTGGGACATAATAACCTTTTTTGGTTCATTTCCCTCAAACATTCCACGTCTGGACCATAAACAATTTCATCCTACCATAAATAATTTCAGCCTACGATAAATGGATGGGGCAAAAAGACTTCAAAGGTGCAAACAAGACCCTATCCCCAACCAAGAGAATCATGCAACGGCCAAAATGAATATGATGGTGCAGAAGGATAGAACAAATGGAAAGCAGGTTTGCAGCACTGAAACTGACGTAAAATGATCTTGAATGAACAAAAAGTTTCAGACCATTGGACATCAGGATGCTACATAGCAAGAAAGTTAGGAAGCATGGGTGGCTAGCTTATGTCTTCATCATTGAAGGAAAATAATGTCAAACACAAGTTCATGAAAATGAAAACATATTGATCTGCTCAATAGGTAGGCCATTAGTGCATTATTTACACCCAATGAAGATAATCAAGCGTGCACTCTCAATTGATTTGCTGATCTAGAAGAAGAGCTCACTCGCAAATCACAACTAAATATATAATCAATATATTTTAGTTGGTTTCAAATCTAAATTACAACATTTATGGCTAAGCAGTCTATAATCCAAACAATAGTGAATTATCAGGGACATCAAAACCAACCAATTTAGAAGTCCAAGATAATTATTAAGCAGTTAATTTCTTAATAATTTATTTATACCTTAGACATTGAAGCAGACTCTCAGCAGCAGAAGCCTCTTGCATGGCCTCAATTGCTGCCATCTGTGCTGCATCTCTTTGCTTCATAACTTCCTGTGATAAATACGTGAAATAAGTACACAGAAATCTCAGGAAATAAAGATTCAATAAACCAGACATTCCTGTGACTCTGCATCCAGCAGATACAAACGTGGCATTAAAAACAGTGACGGGAAATAATTTAAATTTGCTATGCACTATGCAGACTCAGAACACTGAACTGAACTAATAATTATACATTGGCATGACATAAATAACCACCTCATTGAATATGTCCCATTAGCATTGTTAACTTGCACTCCCAGCCTCCCCTCAAAGGAGATGCCGATAAACTAAATGGTAAAAGTAATTACACAATTCATAATGAGTGCTTCTTCAGAAAATTCTTTATTACAGAAACAAAGTAACAAATGTCAATGGACAATTGCAAGAGAAGATAGCATACAACTGTCTTCATCACTTAGCAGTATGTACTTGGAAAGCCAAGACTGAGAAGTTAAAAACTAAAAGACAAGGAGTTCTCAAGGAATATACCTTCCCAAGCTTTGCAAGGGACGATGGCAGTGAAGCCCATTGAACACTGGCATCTATCACTTTTTTACTATTCAGAGAACATTTAACCAAGTTTCCGGGGAGCCCAGTGCTAGACAATTCTGATGATTTCCTTCCCACGGAAGTTCTTGGTTTACTTGACTTGTCTTGGCTCTCCGGAGTTCCATTAGCAATAACCTTCTTCACAGACGATTGAGCTTTGTGTTCCTCCTTAGAAGGCTTTGACGTCGCATGGGCCTTGCTATCCTCTTTAGATGGCAATTTTTCACTTGATGTGCTTTTCCTCGGAGCCTGGCAGAACATAAAAACAAAGGATTCACAAAATTGTTTGGCTCGAAAACATAGAGGTAAAAGCCAGATATCTCAGGGTGACACAACCTACATAGCGGATTATTCAATATGCAATCAAATCCAACTAAAGAGTCTGAGAATGTATAGTTGTTCATTAAGACAAGTTGCGAATCAACTTACTGAACTACGAACTTCATGCTTAGGATCACATTTGGCAGCCCTCAATTTTGAATTATCTCTATTCTTGACATCCAGATTCCCTTCCCAGCTCTTACGCAGAGCCTTTGCACCGAACTCCATGCCCTGAACCAAACTTTTGATTGGGTTTCCCACTCCAATTTTCTTCCCTGTTGGAGTGGGACTACCCCCACGGATGGCCTTCCCCGTCTCAACTACTCCGACTTTAGCGGCCAGCTTCTCTACTCCCTTAATCTTAGCCTGCTGTTTCACACCGTTCGCAAATTTCTCAAAAGAGGAAGGCAGAGAATAGCAGCTGGTCGGCGACGAAGGAATCGACCGTGAATTCAAGGACTTCAACCTCGTTAAGGTCTCCTTCTTGACATCCACTTTTAGCCCTGCTTTTGTCGGCAGTGTTTTGCCTCTGCTTATCAGCGCAGTTTTTTTCTCTAAATGTTCTTCCTTCACATTATCATTCGATTTCACTTTCTCCCTTTTTGGAGATTTCGACCTCCCTGTTGAATTACTGCCATTATTACTAAGAAACCCGGGAGAATGAGTGGCGACAATGTCTTCAGGGCTTCCTACACAGGCGTGTCTCCCGGGAACAGGCCTAACTCCACGAAGAATCGGTACGGGCGAAGCAGCTTCCAGACGATCAACGAAAATGAACTGACCTAATTGAATCTTGTCACTGAGAATGAGATCGTCGTGTTCGTCGGGGAGAGAGACGTAGGTGGCATGAGAGGAATCTGAGACCTTGAGGTAAAAACCTTGATTTGGGAATAGCTCGCCGCCCGCAAGAGCCGGAACAATGCTCACAACTTGCAACAGAGAAGACCTGTGCTCACCGGCAACTTTGACGTCGGTGTTCATGTGCTGCAGAAGCTTGAGAAGAACCCCAGGAACGAGATTTGCCATGGTCTGGAGATTCAAAATGCATCACTCTCCTAATACCACAGGGGAGTTATGAGGCAGAAAGCAAGCCGTCGTGTTTTTGTGTCGTCAAATGAATGGGTGAGACAGGGGAGGACGCACCGTCACTGAGAAGGAAACGCGGGCGCAAAAGATTTTATTTCTGACGAATGAGGATTAAATGATAGAACATCCAGTCAGAGAGAGATTTTCATTTTCGGTTTGAGAAACATCAGATTTGGGAACAAACAAGTTTATGATATTCAGAGGGGAGAAAAATAATCGGACCAACAAATAAGACAAGAATGAGCGGAGCTATCAAGGATCAGAGGAGAAGGGGAAGGAATTTGAGAGTATGGCGTTGATGAGGCGGGCGGTACAGGCGGGAGAAGGAAATAGCAGGCCAAGGAGCGGAGAAGAATGAGGAAGGGGAAAGCCCAGAAAAAGGGAAAGTCATAAATGGGCAGGGAAATGAAGATTGGAAGAGATAAAGGAGTTGGGAGGAATAATTGAAGGCAGGTATATATTGCATGATTAGGAAGCAAAGAGCTGTCAGTGTCCGACGAACACATGCACCTGACCTCTACGCCAAATGAGGAGGCTGACCCACTGTTGCTTTGGTTGCAACCTCAGAATCTGGGCTTCTCCTTTGTTTTATTTTATGAGGGCTTCCTCAAATAATACGTAAGGTAGAGATTATTATACATAATGCGGTGTTTTGTAGTTGATATATGATGAGTGTAGTGTAGTGTAGTAGGTGCTTTGTCTATTTTATTGTATTTATTTATATATTTTGGTGGGGGAGTCGATGCAGAACCGCAAATGGGCGCATGTGCGAGGGCAATGGTGGTGTTGGAAACAAGGCAGGCCTGTCCCTCAGGGAAGAAATGCACCCTAAGCCTTTTTTTGAAAAAAATGCATGAGTTCTTTAGCGGGAATTACAGTTAAGTCCAAAAAAAAATTAATCATCATAAAATTTATTGACAACTGAAGAGTATGTAATAATAAAAGACAACCGTCTTATGCTGTTCTCCTATCACTTTTTAGTAACTAAATTTTGTTATAATTCTCCTTATATGTTACGCTTTTCCGCTGGCTAATACAGGATACATTCACCGGGTGGTAACATGACATGCGACAGATCGAAGAAAACTGGATTCTGGTCTGGAAGGCTATCACTCGACAGAATTTTCATTTTTTACCGATTTGAAAAAGAATTAAGAAGGTTTATACGGAGAACCTAAAATTACCAGACAAATATTGGACACTTTTTTCTTAATAATTACAAACGGGGATCTCGGCAATATTCTTGTGATTTTGGGGGCTGACTTTGATGTTCTGCGGTTGTCTGACTTAATACCGGACACGTGATGACGTGAAGGACGCTAGGAATGGACCCATCAACTATATACTAGCTATACAACATGAACATAAGAATAATAATAGTCGGAGAATAGTGCTGTGATATAGAGAGGGACAGTGTTGAAAAGTCTGAAATTAGTCGGGGTTAAAATACTAATCAAATGGATATAAATGATTTTTGGTATGATTTTGAAGACAATTGACTTTTTATTCGGAAAAAAAAAATGTTCCGGTTTATTGCTTTTGACTTTTGTTTTTCTTCAATTTGGTTTTTCTTATGCACCACATGGCATTAGCAGTGCATAGCGCTTTATTAGGATTCATAATGTCATCAATAATTTTTTCATCCACTAGTGCTCTATATACTCGGCTTATTCAAATAATAATTAATAAGGATTTACTGAAAAATTATATAACCGGTAGCATTGTGAAATAGTCATGTTATCGGTTCAGAACAGTGTTTTCACATAAGGATGAACATTCATAGTGATCAATTTTCCAATTAAATGCAGACATTTTGCCAAATTTTAAATAGAGGCCGCCCTCTCAATTATCAAGGCTCAGTTTTTATCTACATTTCTTTTAAAAACGAATGGATTTCATATACACAAAATTTCGTGCACCTCGAATAAAAACCTTACAGAATTTTGAAACTTGTTATGTACACAAGACATGTATAACGTGTGTGCGTGTATCTCCATTCCGTGTGCATATACATGACGTGTTTGTATATCTCAAGTATACACATATAGCACTTGTCACAGATTAAGGTTAATTAAAAATAATAACCGTAAACAAAGCTGGAACGTATTTATTATGAGCACATCATGGTCCATACATTTTTTTTCCCAAAGAGCTTTCCACCTTTCTTCGAGAATTTGAGCGGAGAGGCTTTTCCTAGTGTTTAAGGCAACTTTTTTTTGGATAAAAACCAGGTGATATCCCCCAACCGATAACTAGAAGCTAATCCTCATGAGACGTAGAAAATACCGCAGCAGGTTTTGTTTCTCTCAACAAAGCTTTTTTTATGCACACAATCTAGTTCAAACCCAAGACTTCATGTTTAAGAGACTCAACTATCTACCAACCGTGTCAGGCTTTATTGGTAGTGTTTAAGGTAACTTGTCATCCCATAAAAATTTTGTTAGCACATATGAGACACAATTTGACATGGACATGGCCCGACCCCCCCCCCCCCAAACTCAATCCTTTCATCATACTTGTGCCAAACATTATTTAACGCAACGTAGTCCTCAGAAGTCAACTCAAGTGGAACATATCTGTTCAGCGTCCACTTTCTGCGTTTTCAAACCTGCCTTTTAGATCTAGCTACCTCCCAATTTGAATAGTTACACATTGCTTTTGCAGCATGTTACATGCGTGCTCAGCTGTGTTCAATTTAAATCACTTATAATATAAATTATCTTGAGGGGCCAAACATATTCTTGAAAAAATATTACAACCTCCTAACCTAAATATAAGCAGAGGTGGTATTAAAAAAACCAGGAAAGCAAGAATTCCTTATATTTTATTCTGAAAGCCACACTACGCCTCTGAGTATATGAGAAGTTGGACTTGAATCTTTTTAAAGTTCGCATCTACCAAGAAAAAACTTTTTAGATTTATGTAGTAACCAGACAGTAGTAGTAATTGCTGTGCTCATCACAAAATTTAACCTGCTCTCTCTTCAAATTCAATGCAAGTGTATATAAGCTGGCAACAGCGTCACTAATTAATACGATGCCATTGCCATTTTGAGGAGCAACTCCATTTGATCTGCCCTCACAGGAGGGAATTGGGGGAAGTAAATGCACCTTGTAATAATGGCTGCTCTCCACGACTCTGCACTCTGAACACAATCACCGCCACTTTGACTCCGCCATGCCTCATAACGTGTCATCCTATTTATATCCAAAAGCATTCAATCATCGCTCTTTCCACATGTTCTGGAATCTAATCCAATCTAATACTATTTATTACCTGTATAGGCTGCAAATTACAGGGGACAGCTTCCATTCCATGAACGCTGCCTGCTTAAATGTTTATATACATGTGGTGGAATCTATCTCCTGTCATTACTTTCACTTTATAATTAATTTTAATCGTTTTTTTAAATCGCATAATTCAATTAGAAGCATGCTATAAAAAGAACATGAATGCGTGACTATAGTTCTCTTCGATCAGAATGAAGGATATGTAAAGTTGATGACAGGAGTTTGTGACTCAACTGGCAAATTAACTACGTGCATCTCACCTGAACAAGGAAGTCATGGCCTCATGGGCTCTAACCTCAAGGTGAACGGTGTGATGGGTGTGTCTCTCCTTTCCCAACGGGGGGAAATCTAGGTTGGCTAGGGACCACATGGACTAACATTCACAAAGTAGATTATTAGTAATTTTTCCCGTGCATTTTTTTGATGATATCATGAGTATCTTATGAATGCGGGCTGAGAATAAGGGGAGCAGTTCACTTAGAGAAAGGTGGGACAGCTACTAATTGACCCCTCCACCACATTGGATGCTTCCACCATGTGGCACTTAATCAATTCATTCTCTTTAGCTTTATTTCTTATAGATATATATACACCTGCCGTGAATTATTTATTGTCATCCGTTGCTCTCATTCCGGGATGACGATGATGATGATGATGATGGATAAAATTACAAGACTCAGGACTTTGTAGTTTGAAAGGCATTGTCATAACATACGACAAGTAATTGTTCAACTAATTCCATCGTGTATTCTGTGCGTATCATTTATGGGCCAAATGGCGATTGCCTGTACATATTAATGGCAGTCAGCTGCTAATGCCAAATATAAATGAATTATAAGAAATGCCACGCACGCAGAGATTAAATTAATTAATTAATATGACATAATAATCCATATTACTGCATACTTCTGGTCTTACCCTCAACTGCGGCTGACTGGGGTAGTATGTTTGAGAGGTCAAAAAAGAAAAGAAAAGAAAAGGCAGTGTCCTAACGTTTGAAAAATTTATAAGGAAGCCGAGGCATGATATGTAGAAAAAAAGGAGATTGGGTAGGGGTGTTAGTGATTGATCACCTAAAGGAGAATAATGGGGGAATGGCCATTAATTAATTAATTAATTATCAACGTCAGTAGAAAAGTGGGTGAGTCCGCTTCACAAGAGCTGTGAAGGAAGCAACAGCGCGCGGGTGAATGATAACGCTGAATTAAAACAACCTCGGCATAAAAGAAAGAATTTGCATCGCATCATGTGGCTTCTATTTTAACTATTTAAAATGTACGTGTCTGTTTAAAATCAATTATAAATAATTTTTTAATTATAATTTATAGAATATGAGATAAATATATAAAAAAATTATTTTAACATATATAAAATATGTTTATAAATAATACTCTACTATTTTATTATATTTTTCAGCACATATTAGCCCATGTTCATTCGGGAAGTATATCCTAAATGAGTAGCATGAGTTTTTTTTTTTTTTTTTTGGACTGGAGTAGCATGAGTTGGCAGAAAAGAAAAACAGAGAGAGAGAGAGAGAGCATGGCACGATCCTCTATAATCACGCGCGCGAGGAGGAGGTGAGGGACGGGGGGCACACGAGCGCCCGCCGACACAGGATAATGCGCGCGGCCTCTGTTGGGCGGGAAAGGGCGTTCCCATTGCATCCCTCAGCTCCCCACACACCCGCCACCGACTTTTCCCCATAACCTCCGCCAATGCGGTGCCCGACGCAACTGATATTTACACAGGGCAAATTCATTGCTTTGATAATTAAATTTTTAATAAAAGAATCATACCAATATTCATGTTATATTATATTGAAATCATTATTTCTTAAAGGAGGAGAAACTCTAAATCCATATTTTTTTAAAAAGAATTTTGACTAAAAATTATGATTTGTTTATCAAACATAAGTTTTCATGTGAAACTAACCGGCGACGGATTTTGAAAATGGTTAAAAATAACATGGTCATGTGTTAGAAACCTGTCTACTTTTTAAACAGCAAGTAACAAATATATCTGTAGCTAGCATCAAAATTGTATGGAAATATGCTGTTCATAAGTCGTGAATACAGAATCATATACCATGAAGAAGTTAAATTGTAATGATAAATGTTAAGACAACACAAGCTGGCTTCCTTCTGGGTTTTAATTCAAGTGCGTGATTACTTATGGTGTTTTGGTGGCAGGCCACAGAAACCCCCCGTTTTGTTCCTTTGGGCCTGAACCACAGAAACAGCTCGGACATAGAATATGGAATCAAATAGCTCTTTTTGGGGCTTTTGCTTTTATTAATCAAGCTCCAGTGGTGAATTTACTCACCAAGTCCTCAAAAAACGATCCGTTCATTTCAAACAGCTTGCTATGGCTGGCGACCATTGAAAAATAAAAAAGAGAATCCCCGAGAAAGGAGAGTTCAGGTGGGGGAATGAGATGATAAAGTCTAGTATTGGGCCGATGCATGAATGGGCCAAGGCCCATTGACGATCTCATGGGCCCCTTCTTTTTCGAGAGAAAGAGCCCAGTTATGTGCATGCTGAAGGAGGGCTGCTTACATATAGAGAAGCTGCATGTTCATGTCATATGCTAAAAATGCATACAAACACAATGATGATTGGGGAGAGGATAGACATTGGGTGGGAGGGGGCCCATGCATCCCCCTAAAGGAGAGAAGAAGAAGAAGAAGATGCCGATAAGTAAATGTAAAAATCACACACAACATGTACGACTTCCTGTTCGCCACTGAGATCTGCCTTTTTCATCCATCAACTCCCCCAAAAGCATCTTCTGATTCTCCTGTCCTCCCTACTTTCCCCTCATCTTTCTTCCCCCTTTTAATGTCATATATATTTTCCATTTCTACACATTCTCATGTGCTTCCCAACATCCCCCCCTTTTCAAACCGATCTTCCTTCGCTTCGGCACTCATCTATTCATATCTGTTTTTCTGGACTGAACTCATATAATCATATCTATTTCTGACTCCTCTTTCTTTTTTCTCCTGAAATTAATCAAATCCAACACGTGTCCCGTATCAAATTAATCCAATTATCTGAACCATTGGTATGTACATGCCTATATAATTATCAATTACTTCAGTCGCCAATCTAATCCGCACGACGGATGCCGTGCGTAGCTGAATCATTAATGGAATATGTTATCTTTTCGTCTTCCTTCGACCGCGTCCCATGAGACCAGTCAGAGATTTATACATTTACTTTGATGCCTGAATGTTAATTATATTGACGTCAAGTTCAAATAAAAACTCCATTAAGTCGTTTTAAATTTGACACACGCGCACAATATCATCTGGGAGGAGAAGAAAGTCAAGAGCTTCTCTTTTTCCCCTTAAAAAAAAAACCCTAAATATTACTGACGAGATTTCTCTATGCTTTGCATGTCCATTTGAAGCAGGATCCAGATGAGATAATTTAAGTGATTAGATTTTCATAAAGTTGAATCATTTTTGGCACATGCATCACTATAATTAGAAAACCAAATGAAAAAAAGCAGACAATCACAGCAGAACCAAATAAAGATTGGCAGGCGGCCTTTTGATAATTTAATAATTACTGGAAATTTGGACGAGATGTGCGTGGCGGTCACTTGGACGGATGAAAGCAGGAGAATAACAAATAATTATCGATTGATGATCCTGAAGAAGAAGTCCTTTCAGTAGCAAATAATTGATAAAATATAGGGGCTGAGAGGTACAGACTTAATAAATAAATAAAAAGATAGAAGAGAAAAGGAAATAATAAGGGGAGGTATTCATAGTATCATGGAAGACGAAGCCATGGAATTCACAAAAAGGACTGGGACAAGTTCAAGCACCTTCAAACAAAGGGAGCAATATGCAATGCACTTGCGATAAAGGTGAAAAGAGCCGCAACAACACAAACTCCCAAGCAAAAAGAGCCTTCTAGAGAGAAGCTGGACAGCAGAAAGACTACAAAAGTTTGCAAGAATCAGAAAACAAAGGTTAAAAGAAAAGTCCACATTGATTCATCATCCACCCATCCATATATCATTATTTATATCTATAGCAATACCACACGCAGATTAATTAATTGATCAGCTATAGGCAGATTCAGTTCTTCATCATGATCATGCATGTACGCTTCAGTCTTTCTTTCTTTCCCTCATTTTTTTGGCCTACACATTGGCCAGCAATCCTTGTATAAATGTTTGTAAAACGAAAACAACAAAGGATCAGAGGTATGGATGTCTTGAAGTAGGGAGAATTGAGGGAGGTAGGTAGCTAGGGTTTCCATGCGGAAGCCCACACCAGAGGTTCGTCCTTCCAGTTCAAGTAAATTCCGGAGGAGGAGGAGGAGGAGGCGTCTTCCGGTGGAGGCAGCGCCAGCGACCATCCCGGCCTGTACCTCTTGAGCAACGCCTTCACATCATCCAAAACGTCGTCGCTGAAGGCCACGTGCCGAAACTCGTGCTTCATCCTCTCACTCCACTGCCTCCCTCTCTCCCTCCTCTCGCACTCATCGTGATCTCCTCCCGCCTCCTCCTCGTCGTCCCCGCATGCCAAAACCCTAACTATGCTCCTCGAACACTCCCTCTCCAGCATCAGTCTCTCGTTACTCGTCGCCCCGAAGCTTTCCTCCAGCGTCTCAAAGTAGAGCGAGAAGAACCTCAGGCACTCTTCAAAACCCTTCACAAACTCGTCCCTGTTGCTCGTAAAATCTGCTTCCTCCTCCACCACCGTCACCACCCTCGGATTCAGCGATCTGAACAATCCGATCACTCCTCCTCTCTCCTCCACTCTCACTCTTCTCAAGGCTCCGACGCAGTTCACGGCCACTGCCTCCTCCTCTTGCACCCCCAAGTCCTCCTTGGTCAGCTCTCCCAGGTGATTCAATCCGCTTATCATCTTCAACTCAAAAGGGACTCCCATTAGCCTCGCAAACTTCTCCATCCTCTGCCTGACTTCCTTCATCACCGACCCTGCCCCTGTGCTTCCGATCCCGCCCGTCAAAACGACGGTCAGCTTCAGGTGCGGAGTTTCGTCGCTTCGGGTGGCCAGGGCTTCCAACAGGGTAGGCCACTGCGTGCATAGAGTGTTGCTTATGTCGATTATGTGAAGGTTGGTCTCGCCCTCCAGGGCTTCCAGAATAGCGCCGTTGGAAGCCACGTGTCCGAAGGTCGTCCAGGGGCTGACCTCCTGAAACTTGAGGATCAGCTTCCTGGCGGAATCGAAGGAGTGGGATTTGTCGGCGACGGAGGAGAGAGTCCTGAAGCATCGCGGGCCGGACTCGGTGGCTTTGCAGAAAAGGGCTTGGAGGAAGTAGGAGGCCAATTTCTGATCGCAGTCGCCGTAAGGGGAGGCGAGCTCGTTGAGCATCCAGAGGAGATGGTGGATTCTGGGGGAGTCGCCGTCGGAGATGGCTCTGGCGCAGTCTCTGAGGAGCTTAGGGGCCCATTTAGAGTCGGGGGAAGGATCGCCGGAGTCGGAGGAACGGCTGGTGGAAGTGTGATTGTTGCTGTGCATGTCATCACCATTAATAGGAAGGTGCTGGGGATGATCCTTGCACCCAAAAAAATTCATATCATATATATGTGTTGTACTGTATGCATATGGACGCGATGGAGCCTATGATCATGGACCCTCCGCTGCAGGGAGGTATACACGTACACTCTTCAGTCTTCGCTTCAGGAATATAAGAAGTGATGCCCAAATACAATATTAACCGTTGCACAATATCGTTTGCGACTCGGGAGCAATACTGTTATGTTGCATATTAAATTATTAATTGAATGACATGTGTTGGGGTACGGTCCTTTTCAGATTACCAGTTTAATTAATTTGTTGGCCATGGCTTGCATCAGTTACTGTATATATATTGCAGGAGCGAGATAAGTATGTATGTATTAATTATTTAAATACAGCATTCTCTTTTTTTTTGAACTATTTATATATATTTCACTCAAAAGTGGTTATGTGTTGTTTAATTAATCTGTAGCGAGCCTGCACAAAATGCTGTCACGCAAGCATATGTGTATCCCAATATTATATAGATATTACACGTACGTGGCCTCTCCTGTGATAGAAATTTAATTTAATGATAATATATTTTATCCTGGACAAATGAAAGGTAGGGTTGCAGTTGAAAAAGTATTATACATAAAGGCCTAAAGGGATTTGCAACGACTTTTTTTGGTTCAGAGCTCAGACGCTAGCTGTGATCAGTCACAACACTGCATGATAATTATATTGATTTGTTTACCTCTTTATATATCTGGATATACTCCGGCGTAATTCATCGGTTCTGCAACATTCTATTTATTTGAATGAAATATTTTTCACTACAAATTTTAGATTAAAAATTATATCTTAATAATTTTGCGTTTTAAATAAATAATTAAGTATCAATTTTTCAGACGTACTAGATTGTTTATCATCTAATATATGTAATCAATATATATATTCTCTTACTGCTAAACGCTAATCAACACATAGTTTGGTGGCATTAACTTGATCACAGCTGTTTGCTATACTTGTCAAAAGCTAAACACGAAAAAGGATGTCCCAGATAATGAAAACCACAATAATCCTTATGTATAGGATTTCCATTAAGGAGAACACCCTTTCACACACGCGCACGGCTGAACTCTTTATATTTACTTGTTTGTACTTATTCATACAGTTAAGCACATAAGTGAAGAGAAATTAAATGATTATTGAGGATAAGATCATTGATTAGTCAACGTTAAGCAGTTCAAACTCCAAATTAGCATTAGAGAAATAATGCATCATGCTGCAATATAACCTATTAATTAATATATATGACCTTGAATTAAGATTTTATATTATACATATTTCCATTAGTCTTTAAATGTGGTTTCAACAGAGAGAATATATATTTGTTTACAATCGATCGCATGATGAATCTAATTCAAAGAGAAGTGCCAAAGGTAAAAATAATCAAAATTTAGTTGGCATAGTCTTATGAATTATTTATGAATTAGGTGGGATATGTAGTCATTAATTAATAATTGAGAAGGAAAGCAATCCTTGTGATTGTAATGGGGAACACAACGATGGAACAAAAATTGGCACACGTAAAATATATAGACATATTTGGAATCCTCAGGCAGCGGATGGCAACTACAATCATTCTAAAAGCAAAATAACAAACAACATATTTCTTCCGCAAATGCAAACAAAGAGAAGATGATAAAGCCTACAATGCAGTTGATGATAAATACTATAACTGTAACTTACATGTAGATAATGTGACGCATTAGACTTTTTAATCAAAACCAGCTGCCTGCGAATGTTTACTTTATTAATTAAATCACTGTTATATTATGTTCGGGCTCACTACGAGACATTGATAGTGAAAGAGATGGGTGACGCGATGACCTCGATCGATCCTTCTTCCGTTGGTACTCATCTATTGTATTTAAATTACAGGTAGGTGAATTGAGGATTAATAATATATATTAAGAATACTGAAGAGGAATGGAATATGGGAGGGGGCATCAAACAGGGAACGATTCGTTGTAAATGATAGGACAAGAAGACAAGGAAGAGAGAAAAGGGTTTGTGATGCCAACAGGCAAGCCAATGATTTGGCAAAGGCTCTCATCACTTTCTTTAATTATTTTTAAAAACAATTTTTGCTTTTAATTTGCTTAAAAGGGCTTTTCATAAGGGTGGTATGGCCCATCATTTTGCAGCTCAGCTTGTCTACTTGTGTCCCTCACACATCGCATTCTTTAAAGATATAAAGTTGGGTTAAGTCCAACACAATCTCCATCCCATCCCCATTATCCTTTTCCGCTCAAATTATTCCCACTACTGCTCATTCATATCCCCATCCAAACGTTTGAATCTCACTAACCCACTTATATATACACGTAATCTTGATGTTACAATTTCGTCACTCACTTCATCTCTACACCTCCCTCTTGAGATAATACACAAGACTTCGTCTAGCTAGCTACTATGTGTTGGCAATTCTCGCATATGGTTGCAGCTGAAACCAAGCGCTTCCGGCTTTTCTCTTATATTGTATATGTTTCGCCATTGATATCCATTGTGTTTGTGGCCGGGTTTACATGACAATTAATTAAGTCGGTCGACTAAATTGTTTTAAATCGTTGTTTTTTACCAGTACAATCAAAACATCCTCCATTATATTTTTGTGTTTAGTAAATTCTACTTGAGCGGGGAAGGGATGAGATGGTGGTATGTGTGAAAGAAGTAATTAGATGGAGCTAATGGAAGCACTAGTTGCTAATCAGGCGATTAGATAGAACACCAAATAGGGGGAATTAAAGTCTAATAGCTTAAGATGGAAGCATTGAAAGGGAGAAATAAAGAGGGATGCAGAATTGGAAGCACCTGACTTAATTTCAAAGGATCGGCAAATAGGAAGCGCCACTTTGGGCGCACTCTGACGTAACGTGCCGCCACCTTCCCTTCCATAAATCCAATCAGAATCCCCCTTTTCCTTCCCCCTTTTTAATTTAATACTTTCTCCTCCTCCTCCTCCTTTTTTAACCCCTCAGCATTGTTCTTCTTACTCAGATTTCTTAGCAAGACACTGAATGAATTGAATAGCTGGGCCGCTATTTCCCCCCGCGTTTCGGAGAATCCAAGTAACAATTGAGATGCGGATGCAGAGGGGGCATTAAATACCACAAGTAAAACGACAAGATACGAGTTCAACTCTCTAACTTTTAACTCTAATTCCTGGGACTCTATATTAAAATACTACCGTCTTTCCATTGTTTTCCCCGTGGTGGACGTTAATATCGTTGACTGTTTTTTCCCTTCTTTTTCCTTTCTTTTCTTTTTTCTTTTTCTTTTTTTTAAGAAAAACGACGTGAGAAGAGTCCAAAGCCCGAGAAAAAGCCGTATGTACATATCTTATCAGTTATCACGTTGTCATTCTTGTTTCGAAAAAGATGGTTTTGCAACAGGTAACAACCAACAAGTGGTGTCAAATTAACTTTTTCCCTTTAGAAAAGAAGGAACCAGAGAACTAAAACTATATTCAATAGTTTTATTGTTCAATAGAAGTACACTAATATCTATAATTTATTGTACAGATTTGATTCCGAAATTTCTTGATTGTTTTTTCCGCGAACAAAGAGGAAGGGAACACAAATCTGAAATCTCTGACCTTGGCAAGTTGAGACTGCGGGGAGGGTCGATACGATAAGAACTGAAACCAGCCGGGTCTATCATGAGAGGTGTTACTCAAGACAAGATGCTTTCAATGCCGCTGTAACTTAGTTTCTGTTTCATCAGCAAACACACAGATGTTATTAGTGTTGGATTGTTAGCATCATTGTTGCCATAGCACGAGAAGAATACTGACAGGGCAATTAGCAAGACCGCTTACAGATATTATTGAAGCCAATATGTTGTACGGCTGGGAAGCTGGTTTTGTCACACCAATTGCTACCACGCCATTAGATCTTTCCTTCTCTTCTGTGTAAAAGTTCCTGTAAACACTTACACCTGAAAACCCAGTCCCCCGCACGATTAGGCAACTTTATTCACGGTTCCATATGTAAACACTGCTGCGGATGCTACCTCCCCAGAAGATACTAGACATAGGACGTGCATTATCCTTTACTTCGTGAACAATACCTTAAATGATGCCTAAAAAAAATTCAAAGCATATCTTCTATTGAATGTTATTAACTAGCTTCTTGAAATATCCCATTTGATACCCACCTAAAGCTCAAATTCTTGTGTGACAATGGTGCCAAAATAGATATAGACTCTTGGCTCTGGGGGCACATGGACAGAGATTATTGCCAGATGAACCATTCCCGCGAGAGAATGTAGGCATGCCTTTGATGAGACGATATGAATCAATGCCAGTTATAGGTAAATATACCCCAATCATAAGGGCGAGCTTCCTACCTTCTTCAGTTGTTTTGACCCCTGGAAGGACATTTTGGAGACCCTCTGCTACCAGCATCTCAGAAAATGAGTTATATGAATGAACATCCTGCTATTAGTTCAAAATGTTATCAGTGAAAAATAATTACCAAAATTATGATTAAATTTCTGTAAACATCAAATGTCAGATTTCTATCCTACCTCAACCTCTAGTACCAAACATTTGTTGAAAAGAATTAAAGCTCCTGCTGCAATCCTGTGGTTCAGAGAAAGGAATCCATGCAAGAAATAAGAACAGCTCGATGTTAGAGAGGGCCTGAGGGTTGAGGGGACGAAACAAGAAAGGAAGGTCCGTATTAAAAGCTAAATATGCTCACAACCGCAATGATTCCTAGAAGATGATATTGCTACTGTTTTAGAGGTGAATTTGATGATAGGGTAACTAGCATGGTGCTGAAATTAATAAACTATTTTGGCTGCAGCAGGACTCAATAATTGGTGAGATGTGTCCACACAAATTTCACATTTTCTGCTTTCAAAATAACATTTTGAGCAGCAATACTTGGTTTTGATGATGTTTTTTTCAATAATGTGATCAGCTATGATCTTATCAGCTCCAAAAAAACAAAAAACAAAAGAAGATACCGTTTGTAATTTCCAGTAGCACATCTTCCTTCAATTGTTTTCAACCCATCTATGAACAACATCAATAAAAGAAGAGGCTATGTTAAGTACTGAATCAAATTGGATGAGACCAGACGGAAGATATTGTATATATCATTTCAATGAAAATGAAAAGTAAATTTACCAAATATACTGTTTCAACAAATTCCTGGGTGTTTCAGACTAACCTTTCAATAAAAATGCCATAATAATAGGTAATAAAAAGAAATCATCAGAATGAAAAAGCTCTCATTATCAACTTCGAATCCTATGTGCTAAAGACAAGTTCTGATGACGAGTATAGGATTATCACTTCGTATAACATTTTCGGTTTATTCGGATTTTCAACACTTTCTTGCTTTCTGTTGATCAATTGTAAAGCAACTGAAGAGTTTCCCTATAAAGATAATTTACTAGGGTGAAATGACGGAAAATCCATGTCATGCAATTAATACCGTCCAAAATACGCGGGGAATCAGTGTAATGCATCACTGATTGAGGGCTTACATATTCAAAGCTGTGAGGACGGATGAACTGCACAATGAGGAGCAAAAATACCTTTTAATTGCGTAAAATAAGGCTCTTGAACATGAAGCTCAAAGTTGATAGCCTTGAAAACCTGGAATAACGCCTTAGTTGGATCAAAACTAGTAAGACTTTAGTCACTTTGACAAACATGCTAGGCAACTTGAAATTGAAAAGCATACATCTAGAAGCTCAGATCCCTTGTCCGCAAGCATTTCCCTCCATGCTGCCCCACTCGTCCCACACAACTTCATACCAGTTATTAACTCGTGTAGAAGCAAGGCAAGGCGCTTGTATGAAGGAGAGGGAGGAACTCCTCCTTGATCTGCAAGAACAGCAATCATATAAAACTCGCATCAAGCATTTCCATTCAAGTTGGTATACAGGGACGTGCGAGATGGAACCTCGAGAATCCTCTCTGAGGAGATTGCAGCAGTAGTCCCTCGAAAGCCCGATATCCAATTCCAAGGTTTTGTCGATGTGAGATTCGAGAACGAACTTCAAGAGCTGATCGATACAATCTCTGAGGTCAACCTGCCCAGTCGCTGGAGAATTTGGCTGCTCCATGTGTCTAATCCCTGTGTCTTCCTCGTCGAATCATCGGCGAAAGGCCATATGGAAATCAGGGTTCGGTCACAGATTCGACGCCTCCAATAGGAAACGGACACGGCATCAATACCACAGAAAAAGGAAAGGAAATCTTTTTTGGCTGGTTTTTTGTTGGGTAATTGGGAAGTTTGAAGGGAGATTGAGCGTGTGTAAAACGAACACATGGGACATAGATAACTTGACAGATCTTAACGTAATGTCGTTTTTAATTGTTTTGGGAACGTAGTCTGACGGGAAAAAGGAATGATGCAAAGATGAGATAACATAAGATTACAGGCTAACCTTGCGAGTTTGGCTTAGTAAACACTTGAGCATGTTGTTAGGAGCAAAAACATGATAGGGTAATAAATTGAAGATGAAAAATTGATACTGTGATGTTACAGGATGATAATTTAGCTGTATCTATGCAGTTCGGGGCTGGTTCCCTGTTTTTAAAATCAGAAATCAGCTGGAAATAAAGTGGTGAAGGAGGCAATTTGGTATTCTTTACCACCAAAATGCCAGAAAAATGAAGTCTAAGCTTGGGAGATTCGGCTGCGAATGGGATAGCGTGGGAGAATGCCTGTTCCACGAATTAGGCAGTCTAGCAAGTTTTCCATCTACCCTCTCATGCTCGCCTGTTACCCATTCCTTCCTCAGCATCTGACAAGGACTGAAGAGCGGCACATTAAGATGCATGGCATTGATTCAGAACTTTAAGATGATGATTCAATGGTACCAGAAGTCTCTGCCTTAGTATAAAGAGCTAATAGATCGAAGCTGCACCTACCGAGTTGAAGCTGATAGTTTTCCATACACATAATTCATATGGACATTCTCAATATATTTGCTATGCACTACTTTTCTAATACATGAATATAACATACATACATATATATTTGTGTGTGCGTGTGTGTATTTGAAAGACTGAATCATGCAGTGAGTTGTGGAAGAAAGTTAATGAGCCAAGTACTATATTAGGGGGCGAAGGGGAAGTAGATGTATTGCACTGGATCCCTGTTGTTTCGGAGTTCCCGTTGTGTTGTAGAGAGTTTTTGAAGCCTCATTCGCCGTCATTATTATATTAACAGAAGCTCTTGCTTCTGAATGCATGCTTGGCACTCACGGCAAGAACAATGCCAGTGGCAGCCCTGCAAAAGTTAACACAAGTAAGTATCAGATGTTCTTCTAATTTCATCATCATAACGAGGGATCAGCATTACATAACGTAAGCAATATAGCCATGAGAACGAGCCAAGTATCACATCTCTTATCATCTGCTCTTCGTCTTCCTTCTTGCATCAGTTTTGCAGCAGAATTTGGTTGTTCCCAAAAAAACTTGCGTAAAGCAATCCACACATAAGGCAGAGCGACCCGCTTCGGTGGATATCTCTGACTACTGTAAAACACAAGGAGAAGGGCTCGTCAATAATGTTTTTTTGATACAAGTGTAGATATTGGACGTAGAGACACAGAGACTTACACACCAATAATGCTTGTTAGTGACGTTAAATCCTCTTCTGCATCTTTTGAAATTATTTAAAGGAGCTGCTCGTGTTATCTGGCCCTGGTTTAATGTCTCCGGTGGCGCCTGATGAGCCCGGAAAGTTGGAAAGCTTATTATGGTGGATATACAAAAGATTCCAGATCATAGCGCATTAATGGTTCTTAACTGTTCATGAACAATTCTCCTAGACTTCATTGTAGTGGATTATGGAATTAAAATTTTACTATCTACATCCTGCCTACCCTTTTTTATGTCAGATCGAGTACCAGTGGAATGATTTCTGGCAAAATAATACGAGTGGGTTGCTTTTGGCCATCTTGGATTGATTTTGTTGAAGGTTCTCTCTGCGTTGGATATCCGGGTCATGGTTTCGGTGTTTATGTTTCCGACTTCGGCTGCTTCCTGGGATTTTGACGCGTTATAACTTCACATTTTTGTCTCTTATTAAATAAAAGGGTTTGTTAATTTTGTTTTTATATAATTATCTTTCAATTTAATTTCTTAACATATATTTTTTTTCTCGAGGTGCTCCTTATGGCCGCCGACCCGGTTTAATCAAATGGGCAGGGGTGGGACCATGGGAGCTATTGGGGTGGGCCGGACATTGGGCTAATATTGTGTGTGGACCAGCCCAGCATATTTTAAGAATAGGTCTATAGATAATTTAGTATCAGGCTTAAACTCGGAAAAAAGAATTGAGTCCAACGATGGGGGAGGAAAAATCTCTGATCAAGATAATGAATGTGCACAGTACTGTTGATTTATTAAATTTGAGAGTGCAGAGATTAGATGGAGATAAAATCGTGGAAAGCAGACTTGTTGGAAAAGCCGATGGGTGGGGTAACTGAAGAGCTTGGACGTAAAACAAGGGACTGAAACGAGGGGCTTGGTCTCCAAACTTGACACAAACCCAAACTGTTACTTGAAAGAGAGTCTTTGGTGCCGCGACGCTTTGCTTCTTCTAAAAAGTATAACCTTGTATTCCAACAATACTTCGCCTTCAATTAAGCACTTCATTGGCAGGTATGGCATTCTCCTAGCTTTTCACCACGGCCAGAAATTCCTAAAACTGCATGAAAAGCCTTTTCCTTTCGGCGCCAACAAATCAGGCACAGCCTAACTTGCTTATTATTCAAATGCCGGCCCAGCAGCACGTAACGGGGAGGAGGGAGCATCTATCTGTAACCATTATTCTATACGCTGACGACCCATCTCCCGTTTCTTGCCACTCACGCATGAAACTCCTGGGAGAATGTCAATCTATGCTGTCCCGAATTAAAAAAAAATATCATTGATATCATCACAAGCTCACTACATCAGTGACCAGTGACGGTGTCGCTCGGCAGATCTCAAGATGGTGGCAGTAATTAAGTGAAGTGCATGGGGACGGGAGCACACTTTCTTGATTGGCATGAATTTATTGGATCACAGGAAATAGGTGGTGGGAGTGAGAGTAAATAAGATGCGAAGGCACATGGGAGGTACGTAGACAGTGGCATTGCTTCGTAGGGACGTCGTGCATGGGCACGTGAACAGCTGCATGGGTGCCGTAATGCCAGGGCTCCCAGTTGAAGCTCGTAAAATATGAGGTGGCAGTCAATCATTGCAGAGCCTATATATAAAACGGCAAGGTGAGGCGCTGAAAGGTGCGAGTGGTGAAGATGGGGAGAAGCATGAGGGCACTGGGACTGCTGATGGTGATATTTGCGGTGGTGATGATGAGGATGGAGGCGGTGGAGGCGGAAACGACGGCGCCCAAGCTGGAGTGGCATTACTACAAGGTCCACAATACATGCCGATACGCGGAGGTGTACGTGAGGCACCAGGTCAAGATCTTTTGGGACAACGACAAAGGCATTACCCCTAAGCTCCTCCGCTTGCTCTATGCCGACTGCTTCGTCACTGTACACTCTCACGTCCATCTCCTTCCTCTCACCCTTCCTTTTCAACTCCTGTCATTAACTAAACTATGCATTCCAGGGCTGTGACGCTTCAGTCTTGCTGGACGGACCAAACTCGGAGAAGAAGGCTCCCCAGAACAGAGGGCTGGCGGGATTCGTGGTCATCGACAAGATCAAAACTGTTTTAGAAGATCGATGCCCCGGAGTTGTGTCGTGCGCTGATATACTCCACCTCGCCGCCAGGGACGCTCTTCAACTGGTACCACCTCATCACCTTACCAGTCTTCTATTCTAACTCACAACCTCATGCTTAATTAACTAGTAACTTGTTGGCGTCCACAGGCGGGTGCGCCGGGTTATCCTGTTTTCACGGGACGAAGGGATGGCTTCAAATCAGATGTTGCCTCTGTAGACTTGCCCTCCCCCTCCATCTCCCACCAAGACGCTTTATCATACTTCAACTCCAAGGGCTTATCTGAACTCGATATGACCACCCTGTTGGGAGCACACTCCATGGGCAGAACCCACTGCAGCTTCATCGTGGATCGACTGTACAATTACAACGGCAGTGGAAAGCCAGACCCCACCATGAATGCTACTCTTGTGGAAACTCTCAGGAAGCAGTGCCCGCCTCCAAAGAAGGGGCAGCACGACCCTCTGGTGTTCCTAAACCCACAATCTGGCTCTCACTTCACTTTCACAGAATCTTACTACCAGAGAATCCTGACCCACGAAGCTGTCCTTGGGGTTGATCAGCAACTGCTGTATGGTGATGACTCTCCACAAATCACTGAGGAATTTGCTGCTGGCTTTGAAGATTTCCGGAGGTCTTTTGCTCTCTCCATGTATCGAATGGGAAATATCAACGTTTTGACAGGAAACCAGGGAGAGATCCGCCATAACTGTCGATATACAAATAAGGGCTACCAGAATTAAAAATTATGATTAGCGAGATGTAAACAAGCCCGGCCATCTGAAATGGTATTGTTTGTGTTTACAAGGAAAAGAATAATACACGAATCACATGAATAAGCCTTTTGTCCTCTGTAAGTTGCATTAGTACAAGAAATTGCCAACTCACAAAGCTTTCCTTGCACCACGTGTGAACCATTTCAAGTCCCTCTTCTGACGAACAACTACAGCCGCAAACCTCAAAACTCAAGTACATATTTCCCCAAACTAAAATATCCCCAACCCCCCCCCCCAAAAATTCTTCCTGTGCATCAATGTTTTTACCAAACTTGGAATGTTCAAAGCAATAATTAGCGTTGGTGTATGATTTCCTCCTGAAATATGGGCACGCCAAAAAGTTGATCCAAGGAAGAAAATCATTGTTTTGCATAACCTCTGCCAAGCATCCGAGACTGCGAATTGAATAGACCTGGGTGAAACCAGAGCAGTGAAATCTCCCCTTGTCAATGTTTCCACTGGAGTCAAAAGGAATAATGTTTAAGAACCAGAATTGGGGGAAAAAAATCGAACATGTCACTAACACTGTTGCTGAAGCTAGTACATCCTCATATGGATAGACAATGAATAGTGTTAAGCAATTACAGAAAAATTGTACCCAAAAGCAACAGCTTATCGGAAAGAAAAAAGGCAAGAAGCCGTGGCACTTGTTTTTCCTTTTTGTTTTTTTGTTTGGGGGGGGGGGGGGGGAGGGGTGAACAAGTATCCCGGAATGTCACAACAAAATGTTGGCAATAACACAAATAACTGGTGTTCATTCCGAACGGCTCCACCCACTTGAGGGTGTTGAAGTGCCGCATATTACTTGACTCCCACAATGAATAAGCCTCACATCATATTCCTATATCTTGGGGACGAATTCTGAGCACAACCAACTACTGCAGAGATCTTGAAAAATCTATCTGTGGTCATTGAGTGGTAAAAATTTGTGATTTTATCAAAATATATCTGTTCCATCAAATATTATACCGTCTATCACAAAAACACAGACTCAGCAGTTGCTCCCATTATTGTCCCAGCCTAAATTTCACATACCATGTAATGAGCAGAAAATCACCTCCATGCATATGGTTATAAAGCTGAGAAACCAATTGACTGATATATCATTCATATTTCCCATGCATCAGTTAATTATGCTTCTGCTTCCAAACAAAATGTAAAGCAGATAAAGTGCAATTACCTTGTGAAAGACATAATCAAGACCATGGAGGCCCAACTGCTTGAACCTCCAAAAGAAAAAGCACTTCTGCTACAAAATTTTCCAGTCTCAAGAGGTTGAATAACAACAATGTTATAACAGCATACTCCAAATTGGCAACACAAAGCCAACAAGAAATAGCCAGAGGCTCAGTGCCTGTCATACAACAATATGCTGGGAAGTTGTAACATGCTACTCCCCCTTCTTTGCTATGCAGCCCTCCTGTGCGACGTGGCTCTTTCTCCTGACTACCTGTCCAGAGATGGAACCCAAATATTGTCAGAAAACTCGAATAGAGCTGTTATACTAATTTATAGAGAAAAGTAGAAAGCATGTGATTCGAACGGGTAATTGCATCAGCGCACTCACAGTAGATCCATATTAAATATATTTGAATGTTTAAACTTCTTTGTCATCAGTTTAGATCAATGTTCAAAGGCAAAAAAAAAAAAAAAAGGCATCACAATCCAGCAGAGCTAGAAGATCTAGACCAATATGTTGCACTTCTCAGACATCACGAAAAACATAACACATTGCAGGGATGCCACCCTTTAAAAAAAGACCCCCCAGGGGGGGGGGGGGTTAGGAAAGAAATGCTTCTAAAGCCATTGATGCTCTATCTAATAACTGGCTGATAGCGGAAAGTAACTAATTTAACATCTACCTTGTTCAAATATTTCTTTCGAAGTTTGATTGCCATCCGTATAGCACTTTTGACATTGATCTTCAACATCTTGTCATTGAACATCTGCAGTGTTTAAACTAGCAATGTGATAGAAAATGTCCAATAATCCCTCAGTTGTTCATTTGTATTCTTCTAAAAAAGTATTGAAAAAAATTGTCGCAAGTGAGAGCTTAGACAACTGGAAAAGCCCCGATAAAGGTTAAGTTGATGAAATCTCCACATAACATGTAACATTAAATATTGAAACTCCAAGTGAGATCAAAGACAAAGAAAAGCTGCAGTAGAGGTTCAGTGCATGACGTCAGAGGAGTTCAGTTGGCAACCATTATCATGGGCAAAGGCGAGAAGGAGTTTTTTGCTCTAGAGATGAACCCAAAGGATGGCTTTTTCAGGTGGCAGGTATTTTACTAATAATGGAGTAGAAGATGAAAAACTGCAGGCAGATGCTATCAGCTTGGAAGGGGAATGATGGGCATGAGAATGCGAGGCCCATGAGAGCTTGGGTTTGTGAGATACGGAAAAAGGGAAGCAGGAACAAAAATAGCTAGTTTCTAATAATGAGCTGGCAAGGAAGGCATGTGGGGGATATCTAGCATAACTACCTAGGGAATCACATGGGAAATGTTGAGTTGGAAGGGGGGGTCCATTGCTGTGAATATATTGGGTACACAAGAGCCGCAGGGGGAGCTAGGAAAGCTTTGACCTAGGTGGAGAATCTCTAGCGAGGATCTTTGTTACCTTTATGCACCTTTCTTTATTTTTATCTTCCTTTCACTACAAATCAGCGGAGTCTGCCAAATTTCTACCTCCCTTTCTCTGTTTAGAGAAGAGGAAACCCCTGCTCTTACACATAAGTAATACAAGAATTTTCCAGCAAATCCATCATTATACTATCCACTTCAGACTTCCAGATCAAATCATAATCTAGGCCAGGTGCCCAATGACCAGAAACTATAAATATTGAGTGCAAAAATAATTTCAAAGTTATTATAATTATCATATCAACAATTAAATGTTGAGTTGCAAATCTAAAATGCAACAGAATGCACCTACCTTAATCATATCATCAAAAGAGTGAGTTTCTCGAATAATCTTCTGCCTATTTATAACAAGAATTGCCGCGACACAAAAAATGGGCAGCTCCTCATTTTCTTTCCTTGATAAGGAGGATATAATGCTCATTTCAATTTGAGCATTTCTTGACCAGAAATTCCTTGTCAAGCCACAAAAAGTATGGGACGCCAGCGACTTCAGTTTGACATCACAGAGAGAATGGTCAATGTTTCCATGATTTGACTGCAAGCCAGTCTTTGTGCAGCTATCATTATCGCTATTATTAGACTGTGAACCAATCCTCACACCATCATTGGTATTAGCAAGTTCTCCTTTTATTTCATGTCCCGAGTCCTCAGGAAGTTTTATAACTAAAGCTTCCAGACATTTCTCTTCTAAATCATGCACCAAGGATTCATCAAAATCTGCTGCCCACATCATCTGCATTAAACACACAGTGACCATGTGTTTACAAAACAAACCAACATGGATCATAGGAGTCAGTTAGTAGATGGGAGTATGACACAAGGTATATCCATTTCCGAATTACCATAAACATTCTTGTAAGATTTTATATGATAAAACTTCAAAGCCAAGAATATAAATCTTCCTAAAAGAGTAGCGCCTCATTGATTACACTGGAAAATCATAGATTTGCTTTTCAAGACAATAAACCTAAAAACCCAATAAGATATGGGTGGGTGAAATTCCCCTTCACTTGACTTATTGTACTGGAAGTAATCAACCAATCTCCCTCAAAAGCAAATAGTGATGTTTGCAGATATACAGCAAAACATAAGCCTAAACTAGGAGTGAATTCACTTTTCTAAGATTGCATGTTTAAATTTAGAATTTAATTAATGTTCTCAAAGAAAACAAAAAAAAAGATACTTAAGAGGGAGGGAATATTGGAAGCATAGAGCACGAACCTCCCACATTGAAAGAGCCTCATTAAAAGACAACTCTCGCCGAAAGAGAACTAGCAGCATAGGAAATGCGAAATGCAGGCTCTCAGCGCCAATTCTCGACAGATGGGCAAATATTTCCCTATCTGTCAGTTCAAGAACATGCCACAATTCTTGCAACTGCCTCATCACCCCAGTTGGCCCTTCCATTTGAAAATTTTCTCGCTGTAAGTTTCAAAGAGAATAAGTCAATCACTAAAAACAAAACTGCATTTTCACAAAACAATAACCAAATTTGCGGATACCATTCTCCTTATGAGCATCTCAAAGCACCAAAATGCATCAGCATTATCCTCGAAGAGAACAACAAAAGGAGACAGCAAATCACTCATGCCTAAAATCCATTGGAAAAAAAACAGAATGTGAAATTTGGCGTCTAAGGTCAGCATAAGAGAGATTTTTGGCGTCTAAGGTCAGTATAAGAGAGATTTCAAAGTGATTACTTTAACAAAATTCTGAAATAAGTCAAGAAATTCCCAGGAACAACATAACCTTGACAATAGCCAGTTGCAGGATCAACCCATGCATAGACAGCAAGAATATCTGACATTCTAGCTAAATTTCTTGTGTCCTCATAGAAATCGAGATGACTATCTGTCCTCACAACATCAACAACTGAAATAATATAACGTTTTCAACTATAAAGATTATCTACAGGGGAATATATATATATATATATATATATAGTCATGAGATAGAAAGAAGAAAACGCTCTGTATCATGCAACAGGGGAAAAGAAGATGCTTATTAAGATACCTATTCTATGCAAGGTCCAAAGCCATTCTGAAACTCTATCTTCATTGGCAGGCCTTCCTTGAGTTATTGAAGCTCTTACCGTTGTTGGTTGAGGAACGTCCACTATTCTTAGTTGATTTACCAATTGTGCTTCATTAGCTGAATTATTAACCAGTACTTCTGGTTCATGCTCACCAGTAGAAACAATTCCAATTTCAGAGTCAACTGGATGATAGCCTGGAAAAAGTTGTTGATCATTTGACTCAATAACTAGGTCTACATTATTACTAATTGCAAAGCTGTGCATTCTGTCGTCTTCAAATTTTGAATTATGCTGTCCGGAAAAATTAAGATCATGTCCCATGCATGATAGGTTATCTTCCCCACTCTTCTCAAACAGATTAGTGACTGGTAAAGGAGGAAAATCAAAATAACTGTCAGTCCTGAAAAATGACTCATGTGCTTCTTCACCTAACTTCACAGAATTGCAGTTCTGGGGACCAGACGAATCATGTGCCGCACCATCTAGGCTAGATCTCAAACTGACAAGATCATCCCAATCACTGGAGTTTTCCTGTTGCTTTGCATTTTT